GAAGGGAGATTTCCTAGTGTATGAAAGTCTGTGCATAATTAAGTGAGTGGGAAGGCTGCTAACATCTTACCCTTTGGAAACTAGAGTTCTGAATTCTTTCCCTGCATTACTGTACATACTTTTAACTTTTTATTTACTTATTTTTTGTGAAGTTTCTCTCTGTCTCTGTCTCTCTCTGTCTCTGTCTCTGTCTCTGTCTCTGTCTCTGTCTCTCTCTCTCTCTCTCTCCTTCTGAAGTACTGGGGGCTAGGGCTTCAAAGTATGAATTTTATGAGGGAGGAACAGGATTCAGCCCATAACAAGGACTAAGCTTTTGTTTTTGTGTTCAAATACACACTTGGTATTGTGATGAACATTGACTAGAGATGAGTTCATTCTCTCTTTTGTTTCACTAGGAACATAAGTGTGACCCCAATATTACCAATGATGTGAGGGATAAGAGGGGCACAGTTGGATGCCTCCAGTTAAGCCTGACAAGGTGGCATGATTAAGGTTTCAATAGTCAAAGCCCACTCTGGGTTGTCATGAGCTCCCTATATATTTTATATTTTTAGAGGAATTGGGAGTCTTTCTACATCTTCCATGAGAACTTCCTAATAAGCAGACTGGTCTCATCTCCCAATCCTAACTCTTAAAACTACAGCGTTGTCTCTGCAATCACCGTAGCACAGAAAAGGCTGGCTCGCGTGAGAGTCACAAGTGCCTTCATGGCGAACATTCCCCCGGAGACATTTTCCCGTGATGCATGTTTATCTGTAAGCATTCATTCAGTTTGTGCTTCATCGTGCCTCACAGTAATCTTCTTCAATGCTCTGTGGCCTTATTTCAAAAATTAGGTAGAGAGGCTTCTTTCTAGGGAAGGATTGTATCTGCCAGTGACAGGGCAGTAGAGAGAGCCCATTAGGCTACGTCTCTTGGATCTTGTGTTCATGTTTATTTTTTTCTAAAAAGTTTTCCTTATATGATTTGCAATATAATTCTCCTAAATCAGGTGAGTTGTGTTAGAGCAGAGCCTCTGACCCGCAACCCTCTAGACAATTGGGGCTGGATCGCTCTCAGGTATGAAGCTGTTCTGTGTGTTGTGGGAAGGCAGCAGCAGCCCTGGTCTCTACACACTAGGTGATAACAATACCTCCATTGTGACACACACCGATGTCTCTGTACTTTGCTAAATGTCCCCTGGGAGAGGGACAAAATCATGTGGAGTGTGAAGCATCATGTTATTATGCTATAAAAACACTTTGGATCTAACTTTTCTGGGATATATCTACTTTCAAAATGAATTATTATCTGTTCTGTCATTATTGATTCAAAATGTGTGCACTTTGCTAGGCCCTAGGATAATGTGGATGTCACATCCAACTGCCCTGCAGTTCACACATTTCTCAGTTTAATATCTCTTTAGCTGCAACGTAGCTGGAAAATATTCCTACTGCATGTAGGGAGATAATAAGTATTATTTTTCTTTCATTATTCTTCTTTCCCTTCTACCAATTCCTCAGATTACATTAGATTTTCTAGTCTGGTGGTAATTTTGTAATTTTTGCTTTGGGGTTTTGAGTTAATTGCATTTTCATGAATCTTGGGGATTTACTTGACTGTCTCATTCTTTTCATGGACTTTTTTCATGGGCTTTGTTAATAGCAGAGAGACTTGTTCATTTTATTTCAGAGGCCTGCTCAAAAGTAGGTACAGGCTACAAAACACTAGGTTCAGTATGATCCCAGTTTTGTCTGAATATCCCATGTGTGCACACCCATGTGCAGAAAACACTCTGGAGGGGTATGTTCTGAAGTGTAACCCTTACCCAGACAGGACTTTTAGTGAGTCTTCACTTTGTCAATTTATATTTTCTGGTTTTCCCTGCAACTAATATCCATTTTTTTGTGTAATTAAAAAAAGAATACATATTTTAGATATCATTTTGAAGCTTCCTGCAACGTCAGTGCAAGATTTGGCATCTGTCCACTGATGCTGTTAATAGTAATAAGAGTTTTATTTGAAATGACACTTATTTTTGGAAAACACAGAACAACTGAGTCACCTATCATATTTTAGGAGAAAAGATGAAACAAGAAACCCTTGAGGAACAGGTGAAGATGTGCTACGCAGATTTCTATTTTGTACCAAAAGTTTTTTTGGGTCAAGATATATGTATGTGTATGAGCTAAGATGGAACTTTCCTGAGCTCAGAAGAGGCTGAATTTAGCAGTGAGCTAAGGCTCTGGGCCACTTAACAAGTCATCCAGCAGAGGACTGCTAGTGTAACCCGGGACCTTGTATAGTTAAAAGCTTTCCAGCAAGCACACCATGTTCCTAGAGCATGCTGGGTTTGCCTGTCTCCAAGTGGCTCGACAATATTAACTTCCCCAAGCACCACCAGCTTCTAAGCCAGTTCACTGGCAAAAGCCTCTAGTGCGCTCACAAATGCCAGCTGATGGGTGCTCAAGCTCAGTTAAGACATGCCAATGACTGAAATATAGCCTCATTACTTACTGTGCGCTTTTAGAAACCGAAGGTGGCTTTTCTCAGGCAAGTAGATTTGTACTGGATTGCACACATACCTCTTTCTTGTCCTCCTGTGCACAGTAAGATGCTGTTGTGGGGTGAGAGGAGACTGTGATAGTGGAGCTTGTGAGAATGGTGAGATGGTGGGGGAGGAAGGGTGCGGGTGTTTAAGTGCACACTTTGCTCAGGAGTGTGTCTCGCACCTAGTATGGAGTGCTGAGAAGGAAAGAAAAGTACAGGCTTGAGAGAGAGAGAGACAGTAGATTCCAAATGGATTTCCATCATGTATTTTACCCCTATATGAATAGATAAATTATTTAATCTCTTGCAGCTTCAACTTTCTCATCCATAAAATGGGAACAAAGCAAATGTTCTCTTTGATTTTTTTGTGTGTGAGGAGAAAGACACTGCACACATAGAAGTAACAGCCCGATAAACAACCGAAGTTCAATACTCACTTTCCAGGCTTGTTGCTGATAATTAGCATAGACCAAGAATTCCCAAACTCTCTTTGGTAAGGGGACAGACAGTAAATACTTTAGGTTTTGTGAGACAAGAGGCAAAATTGAGGCTATTAGGTACATGCTTATATACAAAGAGAAAACACATTTCTGCCAGTTTACATTGATGAAATTAAGATTGTAATGGTAAAAATGGAGTACAAATTTTCTAATGTAGATCTATTGATGAAAAGAAATTCTTTGATAGTTAGATAATATTTCACTTAATTAGGGCTCAAAATTAGTGTCTCTTATAATCAACTTGATGGCCAGTGTTCATCTGTACAAACTGTTATGGTTTGTGTCTGTGTGTCCCCCCAAAGCCTCATGTGGTCATGGGGCGGGCTTTTAGAGTTTGATTGATTATGGGTGTGAGAGCTGCACCCACCTTGGGGTAGATAGTTTGCATATGTCAGGGAGAGGAAGAGGCTGCTTGTGGCCATTCCTCCCTTGTGTGTGCTTGTTGCTTCTGCTGTGTTCTGCCACCATGAGCTGTAGCCCTCTGCCATGTGCCACTCTGCCTTGTAACCTGCCAAGTATGGACTGAAACCTCCACAAACTGTAAGCAAAATAAACCTTTCCTTCCTCAATTTGGGGCATCAAGTATTTTGTCCCAGCAATGAGAGAAAAATAACCAAGACACAAACCATTCTTAACTTGCAGGGCAGACAAGGTAGTAGGTTGAATTTGCTCTACAAACCATAGTATGCTGATCCTTCCTGTACAGCATTTATTAATAATGCCAATTTTTGCTTGTGCCCTGACCCTAATCATTAATGAGTAAATAATTTGAAATCATAATTTATATATAATCTACTGCTACAAGGCTCAAGAGGAGGCTAGAGTAATGAAATCTTTAAAAAAATATTCTTGGATGCTAACAGGGCACTTAGTCTAATTTAATCAAATTTGGAAAACAGTAGGAAGAAATTACTGGCCATACAAACTGACCACCTTCAAAGAGAGATCAATTAGTGAATGATTATGAAAAGAGGGTTACTCAAAGAGAGTCTTCCTGCCTTTAATCAAGTAAGAAATAGACGTGTCTGCTTTCAGGGATGGTATAGCTAAAGGAGGGGTTAACATCTGGTGTGAGGGGCCCTTCCCAGTGCCCTTCCACTGACCTGGGTGCACAGATTTGTCACCTAAATTCACTACAAATTCTTGAGTGCAAGTAGGATCATAAAAATATTATGAGGTTTATTTTTCACACAAAGGGACTACATTCTAGAGAAAAACTGAGATATAGTGGAAATTTATCCAATGAAGTAGAGGAGATTCAAGGGGGTATTAAGGTTAAGCAATGTAACAAGATATCTTTAATAACTCAGTTATCAAAGAGAAGAATGTCCATATTTCTGAATACTTGAGAGACGGATATGGACAAGGGTTGAAACAGGTAAAGCAAGAAGGGACTGATGTGTATTAAAAAGAATCGGCAATGAGGGGCTGGGGATTTAGCTCAGCAGCACAGCGCCTGCCTGGCAAGCGCAAGGTCATGAGTTCGATTCCTGATATGGGGGGCGGGGGGATCGGCAATGGAAAGCTGCTCTTTACCATTTGTATGACAGAACGGAATGATCCCTCTGCAGCACATGACTTGAAATTCAATGAAGGCCTGTGGTTATTAATAGAGCCTACCATGCCAATTGTGCTAAAGCTGTTTAAGACAAGAATTTTAAAATTTTAAGACAGTTGAATTGGACAAATTCTGCAACTTGCAATTTACTGGAAAATAGCCTATTTTGAGGCAAAAATATTCTAAAGTGCATTGTTTTAGCTGAAGAATAATCTTTAGCCAAAGAGTGTTTAACAAGTGAGCATTGGTAGTGGGCTGAAAAATACTACCTCTTGCAGCTAATGTTTAGCATGGATTTTCTCCAGTTATGTGTTAAGAAAGCACAGAACCAACGTATCTTCTCATTTAAACTAACAAATGGAAAGAACGCACACAATTACATAAAGATAAATGTCGAAAAGGAAAAACTGAAGTACATTTCCAAGCAAAATTTATTAGATGTCTACTCAAGAAAAACACAACGATCTTTGCTTGTAAGAATTCAGTCAGTTACCTGAAAGTCAGGAATAAGTAGTTTTCCTTTTAAAATCAGATACAGAGAATAGAAACAGTACTTTTTCTTAAATATGACAGGCAACAGATTTTGAAGTCTTGTCTCATAAATTGCATCAAAGAGAATTAGTCATTTATTAGCAAAGCTGCATGCAGTTGACTTAATTTCAAACCCAAAGCCTTTAAAATATAAAGCTGGTTGTGAACTTGACAATAATCATGGTTGGCTACCCAAGGATGTTCCTTTACTTTCTTCCTAGTGAAATTCCTCTGTAATCAGTATTTATGTACATTTCAGTTTGGCTGCTAAGACCTTTTCAATTCATTAACATTTGCATGTCTTACAGAATTACACTACCAAAGGGGGGCTTGTGATCTGTGTGGTACGTGGAGGACAAACTTCTGAAAGTGTTTTAGCTTAGTTTAAGTGCAGGACAAGATCAAATTAGGAAGTTCCCCTGTTTTCTCAACAACTAAACAGTCTGTACAAAAAAGAACAAATATATGTACAAAATTCTACAGTCTACATATTGTGAAAAGATCAATCACTGTCCATGAAGAAATGCCATAAAAAGTTTTATCTATAAGGTGCTCAAGGTCCAAAGATGAACAGTTCTTTTGCAAATTCATAAGAAATACAAAGCTAGTTTTCAGGGTATATGCAATTTAGGCACTGTTAACCCTATTAAATCTTTCAGGATCTATTTCAGGGCAGAAAAAAAAAATAACCTGAATGATTTAACAGTCTCTAAGAAAGTGCCCAATTTATTCCTAGGAAATATTTTACATACACCAGGAAAATCAGGCTCAGCATATTCCTGTTCTTAAATGTAGCCAGGATTCTGGGTTCCATAGAAGAAAAATAATTATCATAGTAAAAATAATTGTATTGACCATAATCCTTGCTAAAGCCAGCCTTAATACTTGTGACACTTCTGAAGTATTCTATTTCTATAAAATAATATGTGGGATTCTTTTACATTTCCATAAAGTGTACAACATGTCATATGGATTATATGTTCTCATACAACCTCAAATGTGTATGTGTACACACAGTGAAACCTTACCTACTAATATTGCTTACAGATACTTTCAAGTGTCTATATTAGACTAGTACTCTGCACCTCCTAACACTGCCTTTATTTAAATTTCATCAGATAAATAAAACACTAAGAGCTCATTGTTCATGATGCTGATTATTACATTTTAATATAAAATAGCAATGCAACTTTACAACACAATAATTTTTTCTGTGGTCTACCTAATCCTTCTTTATTCTCATGTTAATTACCTAAGGCTCTTATTCACTCACTGTTTGTACTTCTAAAAAGTACAAAAAATTGCAGGGAAAGACTCCTCCTTGAAAACATACATTCAGTTAACAAAATCACACCCATACAAATTAACTTTCCTAGTCTTGCCTTAGGTTTTGTAATCACTGTGCATATAACAACATATAAGTGCAGGCAAACGGTAGCTGAAGTACAGTTGTCATATAGTGTAAACCAGGACACTAGGCAAACGTGTGAAAGGAAAATAGACTGCCAACCTAAGGATGTGGAAATGCAAACCACAGCATTTTGGAATAAACAATCTTCTGGTTGCTTGGTGGAGCATCTTCCAGATGTTGAAATACAGCCCAGAGACCACAGAGCCTCCTGCAGACATTTTCTTTCTCCTAACTATTTTATTCTTTTTAAATATAATAATTTTTGTTCTGATCTCCTGCACTGACTTTTAAAGGTTTAGGGCAGAAAGCGTGAAGATGTACTTTCCTGTGGATGCAAGTCTGCCATGTCTCCCCAAGGCTCACAGCGGCAGGTACTCTGCTGGTGGTTTGCTGGCAGCAGGTGGAGATGGTGATGGCCTACTGGAAGCCATAAGGCATGACAACGAGAGGCCTGCACAGATGTTTCAGGCAAGTTTATGCAGATGTTTTGCTGAAATGTGGCATAAGTATGGAGAGGGAGTGATTCACAGCCTCTTGACATAGTTTCCGGGAAAAGTACCAAAGAATTTGGTTCTTCTCGAGGTTCCTGAAAATAGAAGCAATAAATGAAAAGGGGTAACAACAATGAAATATTGCCTTATAGATGTGAATCTGAACACTTTTCACTTACAAGGCTTCAGTAAGAGAGCAAGACCAGACTGGTTAGGAGAGGAAGAAAGAAAACTCACTTTAAAACAATAAGAAGGAAAAGCAAGCAATTCTAGTTATTTTGCCTAATGTGCTCATTGTCTCCTAAGCATACATGATGTGTTTCAAGCTAAACAAAGAGTTCAGCCTCTTGGTCTGAAGGGAAAGACAATCCTGTAGAGGTCGTGGGTGCTGGAATTCAAACCACCATGACTGCTAAACAAGAGCAAGGAACAAGGAACACATGTGAGGGCTGGCAGTGTAACGGGATGACTGGGAAAGCCCAAGAGCAAGGCTTAGTTGGAGATAAGAGGCATCCTCGACACAAGTGACAAGACAGGGGTCAGTCACTGAATACTATTTCTAATATGGTGAGTTAAGCCAAATGCACACTGGCCTTCAGTATGATTGCCTTTGTTTTTAAACGCCATAATTTCTTGGATACTTTCTGTAAAAGTTGGTGCACAAATTCTTATTTGGAATTTCCAGTAAAAATATAGTAAAATAGGATCTTCAAAATTTGTTTCTTATTAATACTCTGGAATGTATTGTCTTAGTTTAGTGACATCCTCCATCCCCATAAAGAAGCCATTGTACTTTTCCTAAAGATGAGAATTAATATAAATAGGTCAGAGGCTTCTGGCTTCAAATGTGGCCTCAGGTTGTTTTTTTTTTTTTTCATGTTTCTCATCATGGCAGGATCTGTCCACAGCCCTCATTTCCTCAGATTTTGCTCTTCTCCAACATCCTGCAGGTCCCTTTCACTTTTTCCTGCTGTGTCCTGGTGTATAACACTTTGGTCTACAATTGTTTTCTCAGAAAACCTCTGGTCTTATGCTTTCCCCCCGCTTTTTTGGTGCTGGGGATTAAATCCAGGGGGCTCTCCTGCTAAGCCCATGCTCTACACTGAGCTGTACACACAGCCGTCTAGTCGTCTTTTAGGATGGTGAGAAGGGAATTGCCTTTGAAGTGGTAAGACTGAAACTTCTTTCCACTTTTACTAAAAATTAGAGCTAAGAGGAAGCTTTGACTTTTAGGGTAGCTGTATCAGACCTTGCGCATGCGTTAGTTTTCTCACTCTTTCTAATGAGACTATCACTGTTGAGATTTTCCACTGAATGAAGCATTGATCAATATCATCTTAGGGACATTTATTGTTTTTGCTATTGTTGTTAAATCACAGTCCTCCCTGGTTGGTGTTAGTGAAGGAAATTTTCTCTGCTTAATTTAGTTGTAGCAAAACTAGCAGAAAACCAGATACACCTAAAGTAGGAAATATTAAACTGTATTAAAAATGCAATTAGGGTTATATAATGCATACAGAGGTTTGAAAGATCAGAGGCATTGTGAATTCAAAGAAAGACTATCACAGTGAAACACGCAATTGGGCAAATTCAAGCAAATTATGAAGCAGCCAAATGTATCTGGAAGGAAATGGACACGTACCAACAAACCATCCATCGTCACACTTCTCCATCACATCAATGACGTCACCTTCTCTGAGTTCCAGCTCGTCTTCATTCCTAGGGGTATAGTTATACAGAGCCTGAAACCTTAAACAGGACAAATGGGTGTATTTAAATTTCTTTTACGTATCTGTGAGACTAGAATATAATACAATATTCATTTAACTTTTAACATTTCTCTTCTTCTCTGCACACTATATATTTGGTAGTCTAAGTCTTTGATAAACATGTAAAGTAAATAGAAATATACTTGGAATTTCCATATGCGTTAGACTAATAATATTTCAAAACTCACAAGGAAGAATAGTCATGGATGATTGTAATATACGTGATTTGGATCAGAACATTTTAACATTTGTAGGTCAGACTTGCATTTTAATTGTGCAGTCATCTAATGTCTATCACTCAGACACTAATGATGCAGCTCTAGAAAAACAAGGTGGAATCACAGCTTTAGCTAGCCATGATCACAAGCAAATAACTGAGGCTTGCAGATTGAATTTTTAAGTGATCCTAAGTTGAGATATGTCTAAATGACTATGAGGGAATTAATTTAAAAGGGAAATTATTTTCATCACAGGTAATCGTTGAAAGCAAATTAATTTTACAATTTGAATCAGTGTTTTCTGAACTTTTAGAATTTGAAGAGCTGATGTAGTGCACCTATGGAGCTGAGTGGATGTAATCTCTGCTCAGTTATCACAGAGTCAATCTCAAATAGTAGATTATGGACCTCCATTCCTTCTTAACATGGGAGATTTTAAGATTTTTGAAGAGATTGGTTGTATTTAAAATGCCTTTCAAATATTCTATATAAAAAAGAATTACTGATGGAATGCTATCACTTTCCTTTCCCTGCTTGCATTGTTTGAGAGATATATTATTCTGACATCCATCAACTACAGACTCATGCATTGAACTTATGGCAATAAATAGCAGGCATTTTAATGGATATCAGCATGAACTGGCACTTTGGAAAGAAAACACGGAAATGATAGTGGCTGAGAAGTTCAGGAAGTACTTGAAATAGTTAACATGAAAACCTGCATATTACTAAAAGTTACCAATAGTATAGAGGAGGATCATCTGAAAAACTGATAAATTTGTTTTTGTTGATCTTTGCAATAGTCATATAACTCTGCTAAGGTTGGAAAATAAGAACAGTATTCTGGGATACTTTGAATTTCTTTAAGCCAACTTTAAGAAGTTGGTGATAATGAATTCTGGCCTGGAACAAAGATGATTTATTTTAATTACTTTATTGAGTCAGACAATCATGTTTTGGTAGAGTAAAAATATTCCATTGCTTTAACTTAAATAGCATGTTATAAATAAAGAACACTAATCCACCGGCTTTCCTGTTTGTGAACTTGTTTAGTTTGGTATATCAGGATAGAGTTGGCATCAGGGAATTCTAGGAAGGAGCTGGTAGGATATGGTGCCTGACACCCTCTCCCACAAACATTATCTTCCCTGGCCTGGTACCAAAGCCTAAAATTCCAACATTAGAAATTTCTTCCCCTATTTAATATTAGTAAACTATTTTAGCCATTTATATTCTTTTGAAAATAGTCTTCTGAGATCTTTTCTTAGGGGAGGATTCTAACTGTGGCCAAGGACAGAAAACTGTAGCCTGAATTCCAGAGCAGTAGTTAAGAAGACTGGCAGTGTGGAACTGATTTGGATATTTGCATGGGCCAGCCTTAGCAGGAGTAGTAAAGTGGTTTTGTTTGTGTTGATTTGGTTCTGAGGCTGGCTGGTCAGGTGAAGGAATGATATTTTTCGTACATTAATGGGGAAAGTTGATTTCAACACGGCCCTTCTTGTACTTTCACATTGCAAGAGATGGTCAGTTTTTGGCTCTGACTCCAGTGGTACACACAGCATCTCTCACTCTGGGGAAAGTAAGTCTCTGAATTGAGCTTCTCAAGGTTCAGCCTTTAGGCAGGCACATCTCCAAGTGCTCATGGAGACAGGCGGCCTATTTAAGGCCACAAACCCCAGCTGCCTGAAGGATCTCAAGGTTCCCAGAGCTAACAACCTAAAATTGGCACAACCCCTACTTCACTTTGTATGATGAGAGCCAGCATGCTTGTCAAAATGTACTTACCATTCTGGCTTAATTAGACCACAAAAAAAAAAAAAAAAAAAAATTATGGAAACATAAACAAATCTTCCAGAAATCTTTCTACCTCTACTGGCTTTTAAAATTAGCCTTGCATGACAGGAAATACAGTCAAATTACAATGAAAAATGATATTTGGGAAGATGTGTTGGATGAGAGGAATGATGACGGGGAGGTCAGGATGCTTCACAAAGAAATTTATTGTTTAAATGGGAAATGCTGAGCCAAAGTTGATTGTGTAACTTGCACCTTTTTCTATAGCATGACACACCAAGAGCGAATTGTGTGGATACAACTTTATGCCTACTTAGGCTTCAAAACCTATATTTGTTCTTTTGGTTTGAGGGATTCAACCCAGGGTCTCACACATGCTAGGTAAGTGCTCTACCACTGAGCTACACCCCCAACTCCAAACCTATTTGGAAATAATATTAAACAACATCTCATAGTCCTTCTAATTAAGACTGTGACCAAATGGAAATTTAATGAAAAATTAAATAGGGAAAATGCCTCAGGCTGATGGGCTCTGTGGTTTTGTACCAACCAAATGATCACAGTTGCATGTAATATAAAATGGTGTAACAGAACATACCTTTATGCATTTATGTATTTACATAACCCCCTCTGAAACTGTTTAATGAAACATGTTGGTAATGCAATAGACAGTCCTGGAATTTATTTTTGTCATGTGATCCTATACTCATTTGCATAAATAAGAGAACAAACAAAAACTTTAAAGGCAATGTTTAACACCTTGATGCTGGTTTACTTTATATGTTAGACAGGAGAGGAAATTTGAAAGTAAAGTTTAGAAGGCACATTCCAGGTGCTATGGAAGTAATATCATGTAACTGAATGATAGTGTTTTAATATGGCTATTTTCAAAAGACACTTCTTGGCATGATGTTATTAAAGTAGACTAGGTCTACTTTCAAAGTATCCCAGTAGGTGGAAAAACAATTTTAGGACCTTTGTGTATGTCTTTAAAGCTGTAGTTACTAGTTACATAGCCAGCAGAGCAGAAGAAGAGACAGATTTATACATTTTTGGAATCACTGCAGTGTTGGAAGGTTTTCCTAGCGCATAAATGAAAACCTGTGTTTTCTTTTAAAGATTAGCTTTTGATCTCTCTCATAAAAAGTGGAGACCACTGCAATCTCTTGTAAGTCAAGAGCTCTCATGGTACTTATTTTGATCTCTTTTACTTGCGAAATTGTAATCTTGGTACATCAGTTACCTATTTTGTGGGTCAAAGTTAGTCTTGAATTTAGAAGATAAGAAGAATACTTACGGTTCCCCCCCACCTTGAATGTTTTCATGAGTAAACACAGGACGCTGTGGCTGAAATGAAATGATTTTCAATGTAATAAATGTTTGAACTGGTATTGACTAGAAGATAATTTGGGTAATGGCATGATACTTTTCTGGACATTTAATATTTCCTGTTGTAAAAAACCAAGAGGAAGAAAAACAATCACCAAATAAAGGGTTTCTGAAGGATTAATAGCTAAAATATTTTGAAGGATGCTTTAAATGAAGTTAAAATAACCAAGGTTCAAATGTTTTGAACACATCCACAATCTAGTCTGCTCAGGCTTTAAGGAAAAGTCAGGATTTAGTCCCATTGATTTTTCAAAGGTCAGGAATATGGCAAGAACATGGACATCAAGCTACTGGGGTAAGCAGGATAGACACCTTTATACAGCCTTACTCTCCAGCGTTTTCACAGACAAGCAGAGAGTAAGCCACATTGAGTTTAACAGCAAAAGATCCACAGTCACTCTGTAAATTTTTCCTTCACAGACAACATTTCCACATACAGTACAGATGAAAATATCAATCGGCAGACATCCCATGCTACATTTGAATTAACATTCTCTGTTCTCAATATGGAGAGGGCACATGCATTTTTCAAAAGAGAAAACAGAGAACTTTAAATAAAATGCAATAAACAATATCCAGGTAACATATAACATTTTACCTTAGAAGAGAAATATTGGTAGAAATTCCCAGTGCACTGAACTCTCAAAAGAGTTTCCTTTCTTTTTAAACTAAGCATCAAGACCAGTATCTGTAATAGATACTTATAATATTGGAAATGACAGGCCTCAGCATCCCATACAGCCACAGAAATACTTCAATGAAGGAAAGTTAACACATTTGTTGAATACATAAAACTTGGTGTAACTTATATTGAGTAGCTATTCGTTACATTTTAGGGAAAGAAATGCATAAAACTCATTCACAACACATTTCCACAGCATTCTCTTCTAAATGATAGCTACAAAGGGCAATAAGAAAATCAGAGTTTGCAAGGCAGTTATATAAGTGACTTTTTGATGGCTGCTAAATTAGTTACTAGATCCATACATTTAGACGTCAGAGCCAGTTCCTGGATTCTCATAGCTATGACTTAATTATGGATAGGCTAGAAAGTTCTTCCTGCCAAATTTCTATAGAAGCACAACTAGTTCAAGCTTAGATGGGGAACTCTGAAGTTCTCTAGTCTGAGATTATTATCTGCCCTACTCTTAAATTCTATCTTCACTCTCTTCCTAGCTGTGCTGTCCATAGAGCATATTTTAAATACTTTCACTAGCAAAGCTTTAAGCTTTGAATCTATTACTCTGGAACACTCACTAACAATATTTTTCAAAATTTCACTTGGTAGTCTTTAAATGGAATATATAAACTTAGAACTAAGGAGCAGGCAAGAATTACTGGACACCTGGATGACTTAAGATCGTGAAATAGTTTACTCTTATAACAGTGTATTGTTTTTAAAATTATCACATATATTATTTAAAAATGATTAAGACTAAACCATTTCCAGACATTTTGAGAAGAGTATTACATTTCTTTAAGTTCTCTTTTAATAGAACATTGTATCTGGTAAAACATTCATACAGAAGAGTTGTATAGATTAAAGGCCATTACTACTGTTTTGTAATAATTAGTCTTCTCTTCCCAGTTTTCTTTTTTATCTTAAGTGACTTCAGAATAATATTCCCTCACATTTGTACCTGTATATGATAGTTTTCTTCTTAACCATTTCTCTCTCTCTTTGAAAGTAAGATTGGCCTAATCTTTTTTAACTATCATAGATAACAATATTATAAACATTCTTATTCAAAATGCTATTTTCTTCTTTCGAGCTAGTCCTTAGAATACTTTCCTGAGAGTAAAAAGTTTGGCCAGAATATACATTAAAGCCACATGATTTTGAGTGTTCATGTCCATCCCTCCAAAATACTGTGCATATAAAAGAAACTAAATAAATCTCAGATATCATATTTCAAATGTTTTCTCATGAAACTGTCACAGCAGCATTGCAGTGCACAAGGAAATTACAGACATGAAAATAATTTATTTTCTTAGAAAAAATTTAAACTATATTTCATTATGTTTTAAAAAATGGTACGCTTATTTCCACATATTTAAATTATTCTAAAATTTTAAAATTGAGTAGAAATTGTACTTTTATGTTATGAGATTCAGCGCTTGGTAAAATTGACTGATCTACTTTCATAGCTTCCTTTTCATTAAAATGTGAATACCGGGGCTGGGGATTTAGCTCAGCGGCAAAGCGCCTGCCCGGCAAGCGCAAGGTCGTGAGTTCGGTTCCCGGTACCAGAGAAAAACCAAAAAAAATAAAAAATAAAAAAATAAAATGTGAATACCATTTTAAAAATTAAGCCAAACATGAAAAAAAGCAGGCAACTTTTAAGGTCTGTATATACCCTTCTAGTTATCACAGCTATCATTCCGCTAATTCATTGAATTTGGTCCACTTCCTAAGTCATTTAAATGCACAATTGATCCTTTGACAATTAGGAGAACTGGGCTATTGCTCTATGTGCAGTTCCTTTAATTCCGCAGATCTCTACCTGTCAAGCATGTGCGACCCTGGGTGTGCCAGCCAGTGGTGTCCCTGTGCTTGCCCATCTTTCCCAGTGTGTCTTTTCCCTTCCTCCACATCCTTTAAAACTTGCCCTTCCTTCCCCTCCCCCGAAACCTCCAGTCTTCTGAACTGTTCCTACACGCGTCAGAGTTGTCACCGCTTTTGTTAGCACAGAAGTTGTGTAGCTCTGATTATAATGGCGAGTTTTAAAACTTTTCAAAGTTTACCTTTAATAGGAGTCAGCTTCATGTTAAGTAGGAGCCAGTTTTAAGCAGTAATGGCCTTTTAATCTAATTACAGTGTTTGACTATTTTAAAAGCGTTTGAACAATAAAGGAATCTGTCCTGCTAGTAGGCATTCATGAGGGCACATCTGTGTCTCTCTGTGTTGGGCGCTGACTACTACCGATGCATGTTCGCTTTCTTATCTCTAAACTCAATGAACTGGACAAGATAAAGATGAGGCTTGCCCCCCTTAGGGAGTCCATAAAAGAATCCTTATTTCCCCAGACAGTTTCCCTGCCTCTGAAAGTTGCTTTTCATCCATTTTACACATTCAGTTGTCAATGAGTTGTGCCAACTGTCATCTATTTGCTAATTCTTAAGTGTCTTAGTTGTATACACACAATATTAGCAATAATTCTTCTTCATTTTGCATATGAGCAGAACAAAACCCCAGGATACTGGATAGTTTCTTAAAATGACAAATAGACAAAAAAATGCAATGATAATTTTGACCAGCACTCTGTTTTGTTTTTTTCCAGGTACCGGGAATCGAACTCATGACCTTGCACTTGCCAGGCAGGTGCTGGGCTGCTGAGCTAAATCCCTGGCCCGACCAGCACTCTTTATGGAATGAAATATAATAATAGCCTAACTTGGTGAAAAATGAGCGTCTTTGTTTTGCTCCTGAGACAAGTGCTTATGTTTTCTGTGGATATTCAAACAAGTACTCTCAGGAGAGCTTCTCGTGCCCTTTCCCGTACTGTTGAAACTCAAGGAGCACAGACTTGTCACTGCTTTTGTGAGCACAGAAGTTGTGTATCTCTGATTATAATGGCTAGTTTTAAAACTTTTCAATGTTGACAAGCCAAGTACTGTGTCTGCTCTCTATTGCCACCTAATGGTGACCAGAGGCAGCAACGGGTTTGAAATTCTTTTGCCCTTCGGTCTGCTCTCACCAAATTCCTTCAGCCTGGATTAATTTTGGGAGGCGCTTTTAAAGACCACAGAATGAGGCGAAGTAGATAATTATCTATTTTTCTGACCCCCTTTTCCCTTCCCACATTTCAAATTCTTGAGAAGGAATCATTTGTTAGCCACCAGCATTTTTGGTCCATGTTCATTTCTATTTTAGCTGTCTGCTCAGGCATTTCTATTACTCATAGCTTCTGAGCAGTGCTGAGATAAATATAGAACAATATACATTTGTGACATTCAGAGAGGCTTACACAAACTGTGAGCTTAAGAAGATGGTTTTCAAATTAACACATTACTGTCACTGTGCTGGAAAGTTTGAGCAAGAATTGTATCAGGCTTCTACTTCCTTGATGAGTCCTAAGAGTACAATAAAGCTTAAAAACATCCAATGAAGCAGCACGGTGTCCTACAAACATTTAACTTTCCCTTAGCAATATAACAACTTTCCCCCTCCTTTTTACTGTAGCTATTTTTTAATGCTGTCAAAAATGGACACAAAAGAGACAGGGTTTAAACAGCAGTAATTTCCAAAGCCATTATCAACCATAAGCCACTGTTCCTAAGGCAGTTGTTTTGAAATATCCTAGAGAGCTCAGTGTCCTCACTGTAATATATAGTTAGCTGCTTCAGGTCAGGAGATAGAGATATGTTTCAGTCTATCTGAAAGTCATCTCTTACACTTCTGCAAAAATATCTCTGGAAAGTTAGCTCTATTTTGTATTAAATACTTCTTAACTAAGAGTGAGTTACTACTTTAAATAATAATGGGGAAATATCTTTGAAACCATTGTAAGCAGTTTTAAAGTTTGTAAGTTGATATCTTTTCCAGAAAATCATAGTTATAGTACTGTCACAAAAATTAGATGACATTCTTCTAATAACAGTACCATATATATATATATATATATATATATATATAGTAGCCTTATTTTTCCTCCTGAAATTGTGAAGGTAATATACAACTTTCATAAATTGAAAGAAAATAGAATATTTATGGTTCATACAAACACATATAATCAGCATACAAAGTTATAATAGATAGATCTGGTAAAGAAAAATTTTAAGGTGACCCAAAGCATATCATGTCACTGACCTATGAAATTTATGGATGGGCTCTGTTAATTTTTGGAAAAACTCCATGTGTGTGTGTGTGTGTGTGTGTGTGTGTGTGTGTGTGTGTGTGTGCTGGTTCTGGAAGCCTGTTAATTCAGCCTAAGAGTCTCTACAAATTGACATTCCTTTTTCTCTATGGCAACACAAGTTCTGCTTCAGCAACAAAATGTGATCTTATTCTGCAGAAGAAAAAGCATAAAATGGCACAAATGCAGAACAGAATCTACATTTTTTAAAAAAGGAAACTTCAAAAATCAAGCCCATGAGAACTTGAAATACAGAAACATAGCAAAGTGGTACAACGGTTAAGTTAAAGCAAGGTCCATTACAATAGAAGTGATGAAAAAAATCCTGACTTATGCATAAATGAAAATCCCCAAACTCTGACTGTTTTCTTCAGAACTGATAGTAACATTTAGAGTCCACTCATTTCTGCAACGAGACAGATGCTATAGAACTGCATACAGGGAGAGTAATTGGATCTTTAAGTTCAGTCAGAGCTGTGAAGACATTAGGCACGTATTGTCTCCAGTGAGCAGTCCTGGGCCCTTGAGTGATCATAGTTCATATCACCAGAGCAACAAAATATTTTGAAACAAGGGCTTGGGATTAAAATAAATCCAAGCAAACTGAACGGCACAGAAGCCAGCAAGATGGGAAGCAAGTGAGTTCCATACATGATCTGCAGCAATTTTGTTCTTTTCACTAAAAGCAGTGACTAGAAAGCAGAGGTTCAGCACATGAGACTGGTGTAGAAAACAACACACACTGTACCCTTATGAATGCGGTGGGGAATTACACCGTGCCTTTTGGGCTTGGGAAACCTAACACACTCAAGGAAACCTAACACACTATTCAAAGACTTAGGATAGAATTTTCCTTTTGACCTGATTTCATGGCTTACCACTATCAGCTGTTCACTTCAATTCAAGGGTCTCTCAAGCCCCGCTTTATTGCCAGATCACACTGAGACAGCTAAGAACGAGCTTGCCCACTGTGAGGGAGGGTGGTCGGATGCCTGCCGCAGGGTGGGGTGGGGAGGGTGGTTGGATGCCTGCTGCAGGGTGGGATGGGGTGGGGGTCTGACCCTACCCTGTTTGCACTGCTGCCGGGCGAGCCGCAGGATCTCTTAGACATCACTGGGCTACGAGGAGGCTTACCCAGGACAAATATCTCACTTTTTAAATCAGCCTGGAAAATCCATAAGAAGTTAGTTAGTTCTCATCTTCGTTATTCAGCCTTCCGGAGGAATTCTGCTGTTTAGTTTTGCACATGCGCACACAGCATGCCAAACTCCTGACCACCGAGCGCAGAGCAGGGATGGCTACAGTTTGCAGGTGGCTCTTCGGGCCACTCCGTGAGGTTTCCACACCCAGACATCGGCTGCTGCTTTGGTATGGGGCCCACAGACACAGCAGGCAAGATTTGCAGGGGCGAGCTAGTACAGAGAAGCGTGTTTGACTGCGGTGTGCACGGCTAAGGCCACATGTAAGAAATGTTACCTCTTCAGAGATGCTTCGCAATCAGATTCATGACATTCCTAAGTCTGACCTGTTTTCTGTGTGCTTACTAAATAGGCTCAAACTTGAGACAAAGATAAATTTGGCTTGATACCCAACAAATTTCACGGAAAATGTCAAACATTTGTTAGATGCAAAATTGTCTAACAAAATACATAAAAAGAAAATAGGTTTTTTTTTTGTTTTTTTAAATGGTGAAATGTAATTGCATACTGCCGGTCACGCTAACTACAAGTCTGTTTTGGAAATTTTTCAGAGTAAGATCTTTAATGTGATAGTGAATGAGCTAACTTTCTTGTATGATGGTATGTTTTATTTTCATTTCAATATAGCACAGGATCTAGGAATATAGTATCTGATACTTAATTTATTTTAAGAGAACTTTGGTGGGACTAAGAGACTTTTGAATAAAAGCATGTGGTTTTCTCAACACTCACTGAGGAAAAGTTTCATAATGGCTAGTAATAGCTGACTTCAAATCCCTGGTATCTTGGGATGAAATGTGCTGAGCAGGTTTCCTAAAGGGCCGTGGCAGAGAACACTTGGTACTCTCCAATATCCATTCTCTTCTCCGTCTTCAGTAATGGGACCCAGGGTGTGATGTAGGCACACAGCCATTCTGAGCGCAGCTTACGTTTCTTAACCTTGCTTGTACCTGGATGTGCTGATGTGCTAAGTTCTGAATGCTGGGATACAGGCACTGTCTGGGAATTGCCTAGGGTCTCTGTGACTGTAGAGCCATCATACCAGTCTGGGATAACCTGCATTTATGATTAAGAAAAAAATATTTTCACTTTGTTTAAGCTATATTTATTTTGAGTTTTCTGGGACTGGAGCTACTCAAGTGTTGACTGTCACAGAGGTTTTATAAATATCAAATGCAGAGGAAAAGATGGTGTGGCTAACAACAGTTAAAAAGATCACTTGAACATACCAGGAAAAGTCAAGGCCTAACTTCATGTTGTGGGAGTGATCAAAGATGCCACCGTCTGATGGGATTGCTTGAGGAGGATACGGCTTCCGTGTAGGACCAGAATAACTGAGTTTCTTAGAAGAAACCCAAGAAATATACCTCTTTCTCCTCATTATCTGCTTCTGCTAAAATTTGAGCCCACATCCTACAAGTCTCTTAGGAAATATTCTCTTGGATGGAAGCTCAGTTTAGAGAGGAGCTGAGATTTATAATAATTTGATGGTGAAAATTATTTTAAAACAGATTCTGAAAAGGCTAGGGAAAACGTCAGACTCAGATCTTCACATCAAACTCATAATTTAGCTTTCAGTTCTATTATTCATAAAGTGGCAGGAAATTTTACTTTTATAGAAGATTTTGGGTTATGTATGACAGATTTTCATTGTCTTTCAAACCATTTTCAAAGAATAAAATTGCCCTGAATTCACATGGAGTTAAACATTGGTTGGTGGGGTTAATGAAAATGTTACTGTAATGCTTTCATGCTGTATTTATTAAATATTATTAAAATTTTATTAAACTTTAATTTTCTCTTTGATTTAGAAATAGGGTATTTGCTTTCTTTGTAATGTGTATAAAATGTGGGATTAATTTAACTTGTATTTTTATTTATATGCACAAATACCATGAGTTAATTTATAGTCTATGAGCAGAAAAATTAATTTAAAAGGTGTTTAAAAACCTCAATAGGAGATTAAAAATCAACTTTGCTCCCAAATAGGAAAAAACATTTTTGGGAGTCAGTCATTTCATGTAGTTATTAAAGTATTCTTTTAAAATATAGCATTTCTGAGTACCTCCATTTTCTCACATTCTGCAAGTAGCTGAAATCTAAAGACCATTGAGATTGAGCTTGATTCCTGCAGGAGAATAAACCTTTCAAAATTTTAGTTTTGTCTTTGGTGCTATAATGATTGAGTCCTCTTCTCTAACTTAGAGAACTCATGCTCTAAAGTTACTTTCTCACTTACTGATTACATTTAAAGGCTGAAGAACAAGTAATAAAACACAAGAAATAAGTAGGTTGGCTTTAAAAATAAAATCACAGAGAATAGAGGAATTTTTAGTTAGACATCATATAAAGTAGCATTATAGTTCTTTAAAAAACTTCCTATTTATTTTATGCCAGCTACGATAAAAACTCAAAGCACAAGAAAAATTAATCTTAAAATATTTCAGTTTTGCAAAAACCTTCCACACCTAGGGTAAATTTGCACAGATACACAGTTTTAGTGGATGGAACTGGCGACAAGGGCTTTAACGGTTGTGTAAACGACTTGTTCACGTGTTGTACTCCAGCTTCCTATTGTAGAAACTGGACTGTGTCAGAGCTTTAACTTTTATTTATTTGCAGAGGCCCTCATTTCAGATTTGTAAAATCAAATATGAGTTTGAGTTCCTATTTGAAGTCTACCACCTTTTGTCCAAAAGAAAAGGTTTCAGCATTATTCTGAGTATAGAAACAAAAATTTGGGGTAATGGACCGATTTCATGCTGCTAGTGTCCTTCTCTATCTCTCTGTTCATTGTGGTAAATTTTTTTAAATGGTATCTTTTAAGAGCTTTAAGTAGCAGCAGAGCCACCAGGCTGTGGGTGTCAGAGGCCGATGCTTCGCCAATTGCTACCAAAGCATCATCCTTGCTGCATCCTCTTTTACTTCACCCTTGTGAAAGAACAGAGTTTGAGATGATCAAGTCCCCCATCCTGTCTCCAGGCTCTGCTGAGTCTGACAGATGCAAAGCAATGGGAGAGCAGGGTTCCACCAAGGAGTGAAGGAGGACCACAAGCAGAAAGCTGACACTTTTGAACGCAGTGATTCTCAAGATGACTCCTACCTTTCAAAAAGAAGCTAATGATTACTTTTGATTATGATGTAAATTTTAGTTTGTTTTCCTCCTCAATCTGGGTATGGCTGCTATGCAGATATATTTTTAAAATATTTGGACGGAGGCCATGCTCATAGTGTTAGAAGTTAGCAATTGGTGTTTACGTAGCTTTTTAGATCTTGTGAGAAGGCATGAAGGTAAATGCATACATCTAATTAGGTTCACTTAAAGACATGCAGTAGACCACACTCAAGATGCAGTTACCTTTAATTTTGGTGAACTGACCTCCTGGTGATAAGAGTATTTAGGGAGGAGAGGAGGTGAGTAGGGCTGGGCGGGCTGGGAAAGTGTAGAGACCAGGTCAGAGACAGAGGCCAGGGGACAGTGAGATGCAGGGGAGGAAAGCAGGCAGCTGGACAAAGGCGTAGTCATTCGATCTCTTGGAGAAAACGAAGATCGCTTCAATATTGAAGAGAGACAGGATGTGATTATGCTTGTGTCCAGAACGAGGTGACATGGCCTTTAGAGACTATCTCCAAACTAAATCACTTTAAACTCACCAAATACCCAGGGACACAATATTTATGACCAACTCTTGCTTTAAAAGCAGTAACTTTTTCTTTTGAAATTGATTCATGGGTATAATCTGTTTCATTTTTTGGATGTGGGTGGCAGGAGACAAGAACACCTGTATTCTGGTTTTCTGGTATATGTATAGAAGGGCTCCCTCTAAACATGAAGGCAAAACTGGACCTGAAGTGCTGTGACGACGCTTTGTAACTTGACTGTGAGTTCGTTTCAAACTGTGGTAGTTTGTTACCAAGCTGGCGAGCTTCCGAGCTTGTGTGCATGGTGTTGACAAGTAAGCGAGAAGCTCACCCCGTGAGGCGAGCGCCACGCCCAGGGCATGGCCTGCGAGGGGCGATCAGCACCACCCGTGAGGCAAGCCACCTATCCAGTCACACATCAGAACTTGTTATTTTAAAAGGGAAGTCCTTACTGACATAAGGCACTTAGAATGGAACTAAACTTACTGCAATGAATTATCTGTGTGATTAAGGAGTGTGTTTGTTTTATACACATGTAGGCATGGTTCGGTTATTTGGAAACAGAGGAACCATGGAGAAAAAGGCCCCCCACGGTGGCATAATATGAAATATTTCTTTTATTTCACAATTTCAATCTGTGTAAGTAACTATCCCTGATTTTTAATTCACATGGAACATAATAAGGGTCCAATTTTTAAATTTAATTTAATTTTATTGATACTGGGGATAAAACTCAGGACTTTGTGCTTGCCAGACAGGCCAATTTTTTGTTTCTGTTTTTGTTTTTTTTAGATAGAATTTATAAGCTAAAGTTTCAGGGTATTTTTTCCTTTTGTTGATTAAAACCATTGCCCAAGGTCCTCTGTTTATTTTATTTTTTTTTGGTACTCAGAATCGAACTCAGGACCTTTATGCTTCCTAGGCAGGTGCTTGTGCCCCTGAGCTATAGCCCTAGCCCTAAGGTCCTCTGTTTGAAACATGAAGATATGGGACCCAAAGCTGAAATAGTGAGCAACTGAAAGTCAATGACCTCTTCAGGACAGTCAAAAGGGGGTTGGAGTAGTATTTTTATTATTTTTTTCTTTCTTGCTTTGGCAAAGTGTCCTTAGGTCAAAGACATGGTGCATTATTTTCTCATCCTGAGCTGGGCTGATCTGTCTGTACATCAATTTTCTCACTTCTAATGTGGATATAATAATATTTCCCACCTCACTGGACTTTGTAAATTAAAGATGTTGAGTTCTTAGTATAGTCCCTGATACTCTGTAACAGTCAACCATTAGCTATCATTATTAGTATTGGAAAATTGGAAAGACTATATAAATTATGGAGGCTTTTAAAACATGAGTTTATAGTCATAAATAATGATGGGTATTGGGATTATTTTGTATACAGTATTTATATAATTGTATTAAAAGATGGTATGTTTCATACATCCCTCCTTTTCCAAGTTCCACAATGCTAATTTTTCTTGTGAGGACGCATTTTAAGGCAGCATGAAGAGAGAGGTTATTAATATGATTAACTATCCTACTTAACTGTAGTAAGACTGGTTAGTTGTTCAGCAATCAGGTAAAATTAAAATACCTCATTACTCTTTTCTGCTGCATTGCTGTCTTCCTTAGAGAGGCTGGGATCTGTAGGGGTGCCTACTGGATATGTAAAGCAGACAGGATTCTCCTCTTCTTTCTCCTCTTCAATGTGCAGCTCTGGTGTCACCTCTGTACCACCATGGCCACACCACAAAGCATCTTGTTCTTGAGACTCTGGCCGCCATCTTCGGATGCCTGACGTGACCCCCTCACCACTTTCCTCATCTTCCTCTCCGATAACAGGGAGGATTATAGGCAAGGGACCCACATTGGAGCATGCAGAGGCAACAAATTTATCACCTAGCACTTCGAGAACCCTTTTAGGGTCTGAAAAGCTCTTTCTCATTTTTCTCAAATCTGTAAATTTGTTTTGAGTGGTTTCTATGGGATCCTGAAGTGGCCTTGCATTGTAAGGCTGGGCTGTGGCTGAGGTCGTAATGGAGTGGGAGAAAGGCAGCACAGAGCGAGATGATCCTGCAGGTACACATGCCGGAGACAACGGGAGGAGAGCAGAGGGCTCTTCCTTAATTTCAAGGATAGTGTCCTCTAGAACATCTGGTCTGGCTTGGTTGGCTGACAAAGTTAAAGCACTGAACTTCTCTAATTCATCCAAAAAGGTGTCCAGAAAAGAAGACGGCACTGGAGTCCAACTGTTTGCTGGTGGACACCCGTTTGTCAGGGTCAAGCACTCCTGGGCCCTTCCCTGGGAGGTGCCTTCATCTGAGCCAGGTGACATTTTATGGGTGGGAGGAAGGGTTAGTTCACTGGAAGCCAACTTAGAAAGGAGCAGGGTTTGTGAAGTTGGAAAAATGAACAAAGAAAATAATAATCATCATCAAAACACAGAGACAGAGAAACATGGGAAGGTGTAGAAGTGAGCATAAAAATTATTTTATGTTGAAGCACAGACAGATTTGAAGATTCTTAGAAGAGATCTAGAATTGAATAAATTTTGTTGAAATTTAATTACATAAATTCAGTTATGCTAATTTAAAAAGTTATTTGGACAATAAAACTCTCCTAGTTTTGGAAGAGGTCATAAGTATCCTATGAGAAGACAGAGTTGTCATAGAGGACAAACAGTGAAATCTTAGAGATTTATTTTAATGATTAGCTCTTTTAGTTTAAAAGATATTGTAGCTTTCTAGCTATTGATTCAGTACTATAAACATCTCTGAAAAATGTTAATGGATAATGAAAACCAACAGCTAAGCCTTTTTTATTTCCTGAATTTATTTACTGTTCTTTCTTCTTGTAGGAGTGCTCAAACTTTTAAACATTCATAATGTTCTCCCTGATGTTTGCAATGTTCTAACTCATGATTATAACATATGATAAAAGACAATTATACATGAACACAGTTCTCAGTGAATAAGTTCCCAAAAACATTTTTCAAGAACAAAAACCCATCATCAGAATGGAACTGAACTTACATAATTACTATTTCAAAGTTAAAAAAATTCCAAAGTCAATGTTTATAGAGGAAGGGAGCATAACATAATCATAGAGAGTAAACTTCTGCTGTGACTCCCTATCGCTCTCAGAAAGTGTGACATTTGTGTAAACTTAAGCAGGTGTAATTAATGAAGCTTAATCTCCTGAAGTAAAAACATACTTCTATATATCTTAATATAATTGGTGTATTTTAGATACATCAAAATGTAGATTTTTATGCAAGTTCATTAAAACTAGTTCTAGATGTATTGCCTAACAACTTTTAATACACAAATCTATCTTTGTTGGACAAGAAAAAAACTGCTAAATGCTGTATATATATATAAAGGCCTTGAAGGAGGCTAGCGGAAGACCTTCCACTTCAGCACTTTTCAGATGGATAACATTGGTTTCAGAGAAAAAATACTTCAGAAAAGATTCTGGAGATGCTCTTCTTAGGTGATTATTTAGGACACTGTACTTCACACATGCAGCCAACCCTTTGGGAGCTGGGGCCTTAGTAGGGATATCTGCACAGTGCATCCTCCACTTCAATTCTGACTTCTGCATCCTAGTAAGAATGGGGCATTAGTTGAATTTCTTTAGGTGTTTTTTTAAAAAAGAAACATTTTATCACAGGGCCTCATAATGGTAAAATGTCACAGAAGTCATGTGAGCATCTCAGTACAGGATTCAGGATTTAAGGGTGCTTAGCATCTGATGCAAAGTGAGATGACTATACATGTTGTTGTGACTGCACTGGTAGCTACTCCTATTTGTAGGTGTCAAATTTTTGATGAAATATAAATTACTTTTCACTTTCTCTCCTAGATAGGAATATTATGTGGTTGAGATAGAAAGATCTTTAAATCCCGTCATCACTATGACTACCATCACTATTGCTATCTGTTGCTACCATTATTGTGTCATTACCACCATAGTCACCAATATACATGCTAGCAAGTAAAAGGTGCTCACTTTTGCAATGGACTCGATTACACTTAAAGTCAAATGAAGTATCTCAGGGTACTTATATCACAAAAATATAGAAATAATACAAAAATCATACAATTATCTTCTCTTCCAAAAACATTATAGTTGGATTCTCTTGTACCAAAAGCATATATAACAGAACTAAGATCAACTTAAATTTGACTGGCATCTAAAGTAGATATAAAATATAAAAAAATGTGATTCAAAGCTATAAAAGAGTGATGAAAAGTTGTTAACGAGTTCTCTATTGCATATATCTCTAAAAAATAGATTTAGCTTAATTTTGAATCTGATCATCTAGAAGTATACAATATTTCTCTTTCTGGAAATGATTTAATGCAACACTCCTGAGCTTTCTACATTAAGTCAATGACATCATAACATGCATTATCTGCTAGACTAAAAGAAATGTTCTTTTTAAATTATGGACATAATCTTTCTTCCTATTTTCCCAGGAGTGAGAACAAAATACTAATTGCTTATTAGCAAAATCTTTATATTCTTCTATTTAAACCTGATATTAAAAAGCCCCAAGTACACCTACATCTTATTCACAATGATGATTAAAATATTAAGATCTAAAATATATATTGTCATTGTTAATTAGGGTGTATGGAAGAAGTTCTCAAGTGCTAAATAAGCCTTTGTAGACACATGCTTTTCTTTTTATAATATTTTATTTAGAGACACAGTCACTTGAGATTTATCGGGCAATTGAGAATTCATCAATTTTTATGATTGACTGGATGGTGGATAAGACAAGAATATAGATAAAGATTCTCATCTTTTGTCAGTAGGAACTATTGCAATAGGATATGGATCTCTAAATGCTAAGTCCTGGTAGTAAAGTAAATATATGTAAGAAGATTCTGGAAAACTCCATAATCAATTAAATAAAATTAGAAAACACCAAACAGTTCTGTTATCTAATGATATAGAATTGAAGGTAATTACATACAACTGAAATTCAGTCTTCATAGGGGATGAAAATGAATGAAGCTAGGGCCTTAGCTCTTTTGAAAGAAAATGTCTCTCAAGATAGATTCTTAGATCATTTACTTATTAAGATGTTTCCCAGACTCATTTTCCAGGAACAGTTTTGGTTATTTAGGGACAATATCTTCCAATGATCTTGCACTAGGACCTGAAGTGACTTATACTTTCATAATGTCTAATATGCCATTTTACTTTGCTAGCTCTAGATGGTTTATTTTTCCATGTCCTAGTTGTCATCTCAGTTACAATAAATAATGAAACTTTATGCATTTTGAAGCACTTAATATTTTAAGAGTAATTCTTTGGCAATGTAAAATTTTATATTTGCAGTTAATAACAAGGAGAAAGAAATGCCTAAGTACCACTTATAAAGGAAATATAATTTAACAGAAAAAAAGAAAAAATCACACTGTAAGTAAAGACAGTAGAATAGTCTCATAATTAATCAATTCAGGAAGTAAATTCTCTTTAAATTACATTTTGAGAAGGATAACCATCTTTAGCTATAAGCTTCATCGAACAACAGAATTTGTATATAATTGCTCTAAAATTCATGAAATGAATTTGAGGCCTTCTACTAATCTACATTTTCATTAAACCTAATTAACTGAATTACAGACCCTAAGTTTAAAATTTAGCTCAAGCTCCATTGCTACATAAAAAAGGTTCAAGACTTATAGAATTTGGTCAACCTTATATTAAGCATGTGTTCTAAGGATGTATGATATACATATACATATATATGGCATTTTATGTTGTATGTGCTTATATATGGTATATTACAAATGATAATTGTACCTACATATATAAATACATAATTATACTTATTTATATAAGCATATGATAAAAATAAAATTTACACATATAAATCAGGCTTCAGAAAAACGCAGAAAACCTATATATATGTAATATATATATACACACAGAGAAATACAGATATGTATCTTATAAAGTTTTACCACACTGTTTTCTTTCTTTTAATATTTTAACTTGAAAATGAATTAGCAAAATCAAGCATTAATCCTTTATGCCAGCATATATTTAAATTATATCTATGAGGAAGAAACTCACATGTGTAGAAATGTAATACGTACACCTTTTCTTTGTGAAAGACATGATGTTCTATGCAATATGGTAAAATCACACAGTGATTATCTATTCCAAGCTCCTAAGTATTATATTAATATGACAGAGTATCTTCTTACCTTATTGGAACTTAAGCTGTAAATTCTATCACTAGAGTAGCTGTGGGGTATTGGAGGGTTGGGGTAATCCTCAGCACCTTTTATATTCTTCTTGACAACTTCTACATAGGAAACGGGGAAGATGCCTTGTCTGTTGGTTCCTGGAATTTTACCTTCATACCAGTTTTGATCAACTCTTTTAAGGAGAATAATTCTATCTCCCTGTAAAATAAACATTATAAAGTGCATTATAAATAGAGGCTTAACAACAGGAAAAGCATAACTGCCATTGTTTCCTAATAAATAATAGTTTTCTATTTGGGAAAGTTTCTATTTAATCAGAGAAATGCAAGTAAGACTTTAGCACATACTAGAAATATACAGATGATTAACATGTATGCAATTCAACCATCTATCTTTTAGAGTCAGTCCTAAGTACTATACACCTGGTTAGTGTGAATAATCTTACACATGTTTCATACTGGTACTGTACCATGATTTGTGTGTTGTTTCAACAAGCACACTAGCTTAACAGGTAACATTTCAATGATAGTAGCATCATTTCATTTCCGTCAGATTTGACACAATGTCTTTCTCCAGGAAGAGCTTCAGAATGCATGCTTGAAATGGGTTGCAGAAATCAGCCTCTGGACAGATAAAGCTGAATGGCACACTAGTTTTCTTCTTTAATCTATATCTTCTGAATGAAAAAAGAATGACTGAAAAGGATGGGGACAAAGATGTTCTAGAATATCCATAGTTGTGGCCAGGACTTACACTACCCTAGTATGCGTCTGGACACTAACACCAGTATCAATTCTGATTATTTGGTCGCCATGTCCCACTAGTCAAATATTTGAATAGCATCCTTGGCTTTTGTGGTGCCAGAACTTTCTACATTCACTTCCTGCCATCAGCAATCATGTAGAACCGAATTTAAATTTTAGTTTGAAACCGCACATGGCCCAGAACTAAGTAGGCAAGCTCTTGTTAAGAGGCAAGCTGCACATGCAGAGCTGATACAGAGGTTTGGGCAACTGTGCTGACACGGTGATTGGGGTGACACTGAGTCAGTAGCTGCAGCACAGGCAGGGGCCCTGGTTCAGATGCAGAGATCTTCACTGAAGTTTCTCTTTTTGTCAAAGTGCTGGACGGTTCATTTAGTGCATCTCACCAGCACTGAGCAGAACATATTGCAGAAAACTGAACCTCTCTACTAACTGTACTAGTTTTCTAGGACACCAAGAGCAGGTAACCACTGTGCTGCTGGGTGTACTGCTCTGGAAAAGATTTTCTTTAAAGCAAGAAAGAGAAAATGACAGTTTGTGTAATACTGAGTGCTATAGCGGGTAGTATAACAGAATCAGCTAACGATGCAGAATTAGGACCACATGGAGGGAACCACATAAGGTTCTGCCAGGACCAGAACTGTAGAATTTCCTTCATTTTACCTGCCCAAAGATTTTCTCAGAAGGCATGGGAGGTCCAAGAGCACTGTTGAGGCAGGAGGTTAGAGCACAGCAAAACAGCTGGACAACTGGGCATGTCCTGTCCATCACAGAGACCTGTCTGTCACGGCCAGGAGGCCTGACAGAGCCCTGTGTTAGGCGGCATGTGTCTGATGTCAGAGGACATAAAAGGTGGCAGCAATTGGCCCTGTAGCCACTGTTTTTCTGCTCTCACGTTGCCCGTCCTGTGTGAGGATGTATTTTCTCTTCTCTTTTCATCAGAACCTTCCTTGGAACACTGCTTTCTTCCTTCTTTTTCCTTCTTTTCTCTTGCTGTGGTCCATCCTGTGTGCTATTTTCTGTTTTCTTCAGGGCACTTCTTTGCAACACTTCTTTCTTTTTTACCAACAATAAACGGCAAGCTTTTGTATTCATCATTTGTTCTGTCCAGTTCTTTGCACAGGGCAGTAAGAGCTCAGAAAGACCCGCCAGTCACTACAGCATCTAGTAACGCTACCTTGTCTGTGTCGTGTGCAGCACAAGCAGATCTATACCGTTGTACTGGGAGCCACACAAGTAGTTCATCTATCATTCTAAACTATGCAAAGCAGCAAATCAAAAGAGTTCTTTCTGACTGGTTAAGAAGGGATGGTAGTGTTGGAAAGGCTGCTAGTGAAATTTGGGTTACCTGTGGCTCAGAAAAGGATGATCAAGGAAACAGCATCACACAGATAGCTATTCGAAAAGACTTCCCAGAAAGGTAGTGTATTTGTTACTTTAGGATTATTACTTCATTCCAAGTAGAGAAAAGTGTGTATTGGGACAACTTTTTAAAACAGTGGAATCACAAGGCAGCAGAACAATAATACTCTGTAGTACATTAAATGCTGCCTCTGTTTGATGCTCCCACATGTCTAACTCTGAGCTATTCAGTCATGGCACCTCTTAGAGAGGACTTGGGGCCTTGCTTCCCAAGCTAAGCCACAGAGAGGCTTAGGGCTTCCACTCCCACAGAAATCTCTCTGCAAGGACACAGGGACTAGGAGTCAGAGTGACTCTGGACAGCCTTAGGGAGTTCTTTTCGGAAAATGGAGAAAACACAAAAATGTCTAAGAAAGATGATGACCTATTTTAGCTTCCAAACCACAATGTTTTCTAATGCACTTCTGAAGAAAATAACCAGGTTACCTTTCTCAGTGAGAGCTCCACGTTTGTGTCTGCATTGAAATTATATTTGGCTATAGCTTCTCCGATTTCTCCAGGCTGGGCTGGGGGAGGTGGTCTTGCAGGTTGTGCTTTTTCGGGAGGTGTGAGTTTCTATGAAGAAAAACAGTAATTTATTCTTGAATTTGTGGTGACTTTTAAAACAACCACCCACCAGGACGGAAGGGGAAAGGAACGTACCTCTACATACGAGATTGGAAAAATGCCCACTCTTCCATGGTGCTCTCCCTCATACCAATTTTGATCAATTTTCCTGAGGATGTAGACAGTGTCACCTTTCTTAAATGACAACTCCCTGGAAGAGATGTATTTAAATGTATTTTATCCTTATGTATCACAATTATTCTTAAGATCAACACCCTTATTAGATCTACATTAGTCTGGAAAATATACTTCCAACCTGTAGTAATGTGTCAAGCTTAGTTACATAAGAATTTTCCTTGAAAATTTCTAGAAATCATTCATAACATAACTTTAGAAATAGTTTTGAAAAGTATAACATCTGATATAAATCACAGAGGATTAATATGACATTTAAAAGAGGAGATAGACTGTTTATGTTTTTATAGTTGAAATATGAAGTTTGGCAAAATGATGGACTGCTGTTGCACTGATTTTTATTTTACTCTGAAGCTAGTTGGCTAGTGACCATCCCACCCTCCTCATCTGCATTTGATGTGCTAAAGCTTACAATATGGACAACAAACACTGGGCATCTCAGAATAGAGGTGTCAATACCAGGAAGACATCTGTGGACCTTTGGGGTTAACAGGGAGGAATCTCAGTAGTGTTGGATAAGGAACTCATTCTGTGTAAAAAAAAAGATTTTGTACTTTTATTTTTCAATGGAGTAAATCAATAAATGTGTTTTAAATGTGAAGACATGAACAAATGTTTATTTTCTTTATGTATTTTATTTTTACAATATAAAAGTATTTTAAAAACTCTAAGTGAATTTTTTCTATTTTGACTGTTTCTAAGAAAAACAGTAAGTATGTTAGGTATTTTTAATTTTAAGTTACAATGGAATTATTCATTTTTTAATAATTTATAACTAAATTTATCACCCTTAGTACAGCAGTTTTGCATGACTTCATTACCCAGAATGTTCGTTCATTATTCTGCGCACTTGATTATACTTTGCTGAAGGGCATTTAGTTGTATCTTTTCCCAAGAGCCCCACTTTTCTTTACACATCTGTCTTCCATTCTAAACTTTCTGCCTTGTTTACTTCAGGATTTAAGTTGGATTATTTCTTAGTGCAGAATATATGATGAACAGAGGTGTATGTCAAATGTAGAATATTTTTGTTGATTGAAAGAACTAATTGAAAAAAGTTACATATTAAAAAAATAATTGCACATTTGGAAGCACTAAATCTTTATATTTGTTGTGTATTAAATTTTAGAAACTATAAAAAATATTTATAAACCTTCACAGTCAAAAGCTTTACATTAAACACAGTACTTCATTTTTTGTTTGTTTTTTGGTAGCACTGAGGATTGAACTCACAGCCTTTCCATTGAGCTACATCTTTAGCCCTTTTTTGTATTTTGTTTTGAGACAGTCTCACTAAGTCCCTAAGTTGCCCGTGTTGGCCTTAAACTTGCAATCTTCCTGCCTCAGCCTCTCAGAGTGCGGGGACTACAGGTGTATACCATGATGCCTAGACAGTATTTCTCTTTTACTCAAATATTTGATGCAAAAAATAAGAGATTTAATGTTTCCAATCCAAAAGTTTCTTTATATCAGGAACATTTTGTTCCTGGATATTTTAAATATGTGTGCAAATTTGGGACAACTAATTATTTTCTTTTAAATATGAAGCCCTTTTTCCCATTTGTTGAGGCTTGCATTTAAATTTTTTAAGTCATTTAGACAAAGGAAAGCCATTTCCTCCTCCAGGTTTCAAAGCTGTATCTCTCTCATCTCAGTGGAGTCTCACTGTAATCAGGTTTTTGTTGTTTCATTCACTTTTGTTGTTTCATTCACTGACAAACTATGGGAAATGGCATTTTATCTCTTTTCTCATTTAAAAATGGAGTCCTTATATTTAGTGAGTTCTTTGGCTATATTTTTATAATTATTATTTGTAAATGTATGAGGTAAAGAAAGTAGTTGTGGAAACACATATATATTGTGTTGTCTCTTGTTCACAAGACGTTGGTCACCAAAAAAGTGGGCCTATAAAACTACGATTAAAATGACTGGTTCTTCTGTAATTTAGTTCTGCCCGGGTGTATGAGCCTTGAAAGCTGCACAATCCATCCACTGCCTTGAACTTTGTGTCAAACATAAAGTACATCTGGAGTGACAGATAACTGGTCTTTACATCCATCTCCTGAGAACAGAACAAGGGGAATGTGATTAAACTGCGGCAAGACCAACTTCTCTATGTTATGAGAGCAATGTTTTCTTACTAAAATTCTGAGAGATAAGCTTCCATGGGGGCGCTATTTTACCTCTTTCTCCAAAGGCTTCCACAGTTAAATTTTTAGGAGACCTATTCGTGACCTTGGTGAAAGGTGGAGATGGTGCCCTCTGCACGCGCCAAGCAGAGCTGTTTGCACCACACAGGAAGCATGTGGGAGAAGGCTTCTCCCTGCACTCAGCCACCGGCAGGAAGGATGCACCCATGGAGGAGGCTGAGGGCTCAGCACGTGGAACAGACAACCCAGTGATATGATCAGCACCCAGGCACCCGTCTGTCCTCGGAATCACATGGCATCTTCCTTGTTGAAGGCTGTGCTTATTAGAACTTGATGAAACACTGTGTGAATCCAGGCAGACACCCTTCCTATTTTATATGCTTTGCTATTCCCCAGGGAAGTATATGCTTAAAGAAGTTTTGGGTTGATTGCCATGAAGAAAAACAGGAATTTGTACCATGTCGTTATTTCTCAAAATATATTGTACAAACTGCCACATCACCCCAGGTCATTGTGATCAGAGAGCACAGAAACAAAGCAGAAGCTGCACTGAAGTCTGGGCGCAAAGACATACTGGTTCAAGACTTAGTCTCCAGTTTAAAATTACTGGGACGTGGTGGAAGCTTTAAGGGGTGGGGCCTGGTGGGAGGTCTTCTGGTCAACCAAGTCACCTCTTCAAAGCGCATTGTGGGTCCTGCTCATTTCCTCCTTTTCTTGTTTGCCTCCTGACCATGCAGTGAATGGCTTTGCTGTGCCACACACTCCCCGCCAGGAGGTGCTACTCTCCTCCCCAGGGTCCTAAAAGCAGTCGAGCTGCCCCACCATGGTCTGAAACCTTCTGATGACTGGGAACCAAAATTAATCGCTCTTTTTAAGCCTATGATCTCAGACATTTTGCTGCGGTAGTGGAAGAGTAAGTAACAAGTTACTCGTCCAGTTAAAAAGAAAATATAAGTTTTCTTTGGAATTTTATTTTTACACCAGATTTAAGCTGTCATGGTTTGTTTATGGATATCCCCGCAAAGCCTCACACAGTCATGGGGCACGCTTCTAGAGTTTGTGGTTGGTTCATGGATGTGAGCGCTACACCCTCCCTGGAGTGGGGAGCCTGCATACAATGCAAGGGAGGGAAAGTGGCTGCTTGATACTGTTCCTCCTTTTGCTCTTGCTGCTTTTGCTATCTTCCACAGCCAGGAACTATTGCCCTCTGCCATGTGCTACCCTGCTTTGGAGCCAGCCGAGTATGGACTGAAACCTCCACAAACTGTGAGCTAAATAAACCTTTCCTCTCTTAATTCTTGGCATCAGGTATGTTGTCTCAGCAAGGAGAGAAAAAGTAACCAAGACATAACCCATATTAGATATTTTATTTCTAAACAGCAATTTTTTAGTTCATTATCTCATCAATATTACTATATTCTGAGTGTTTTTTTTATATGTCTTCTGCCAGACACAGTTTCTGGAAGGAGTAATTCATATTATATGCATTGTTAATAAAATATTTTGGTTATACATGTATATATGTATGTACATATATACATATTCAATTTGAACAACAGCACAGTTTAGTGGCAATTTACAATGAACTCAATCTTGAGTTCTAATGTAGGTCAAAGTTTCTTAAATAAGTTTTGTGCATGTGAGCTTCAAAATATCTACACAATTCTTTCTTAATTAAGTCTAATTATGTGCTCAGTACAACCTTCTCCAACCACATCCTATTGGGTGAAAATTCCTAAAAAAAGGAAAAAAGAAATACCACAATACAGGGCTATGAAAATACCAACACAAAAGAACCACAGGGTGGAACTGTGCTCACACTTTCCAAGCTTTGAGTATCAAAAGATGGAGATTTCACTACAGGTACTTTTGCACACAGTTCTAGTCATTGATACCACAGACTATGTTTGATATAGCTGGACAAATGAATGCCATCAAACTCCCCCAGCTAGGGTTAAGAGTTAAATGTGAAGTGTCCCCCACATATTCATGTACTGAGGGCTTGATCCCCAGTGCAGCCATTTTCAAGGCAGGGCCTAGAGAGGTGGTTGGCTCATGAAAGCCCTGACCACCTCCGTGCTTCATTTCATAGGTCAACGGAGTCCAGCCGGAAGAAGCAGGTCACTGGGGGTGTGCCTCAGACTGCTTTTTTTCTCTCTCTCTCTGACATTTTTCCCTCACTTTCCAGTTCTTGATGACTGTGAGGTGAGCAGCTTTCCTCTACCAATTTTGTTTCTGCCTTCAAGCCAACCATGGACTGAAATCTCTGAAGCCATGAACTGAAAGAAACTTTTTCTCCTTTCAGTTGTGTATGTGAGGTATTTTTTTCCTAGCAATAGAAAGGTGACTGAAATACTCTCATTACTTTGTTTTTAATTAATTCTTGGTACAAAAATTCTAGACACAAAGGTTCTTCCTTTTCTTTTGAACTCACTGTGTGCTAACATGCTTTATTACTTTAAAGATTAAAAAAATAACAAAACAACAATGAAGACAAAATCAAAACAACACAAAAACAATACATGACCTCAAAACAAAATGATAGGAATTAACAATGGTTGCTACATTACGTACTGTCATCTTCAACAAAGTTGCTCAGTCCACTAGACGTAAGAATGTACGATTGATCAAACAATGAAAGACAGCAACATCTAACATGCTTAATGTAATTTAAGACTCAGTGTTAAAACTAAACCCAAAATGAAAATAAAATTACCCCATCCTAATTAGTAATTTTGAAAGAACAAGGTAATTAGAGTGGATTGTTGAATTGGGAACTAGTTCTTATTTATAGCACATCCCACTGCAGTATTTATGTCTTAATGTATTACAAGCACATTAAAACCAGCTGAAATCATATGATGCATACTTATTTTACTTACTTAGATGTCTGTGCCTTAAAATCATAAACAGCTTTTGCAGGAAATTTCTGAAAAGAGAGGTAAGTAATTAGCACTAACTTAAAATTTGAATTTCTTGCAGTTTCATAAGAAAACAAGACCTCAAGGGTGACACACACACACACACACACACACACACACACTATAAATCCTATGTGCAATTTACAAATAAATCAATTAGTTTTGCATTTGGATATTTAAGCTGTAACAGAGATATAGCATCTGGCTTCTTTGCAATCATGTTAATTTTAGGAACTAAGGTAGCTTAATGCCATATAATAGGCTAAGAAAATACCTGTGGAAGATTCTTAGATGCAATTTTGGCTGTTACAAAGGTTTTTGAGGGACAATTGTGGAGGGTTAATAACTGTATTGACACAATTCTAAATCACAATAAAATCACAAAAAACCAAAAGCCATGAGGGAAGCCATCATCCCTTGTACTAAATATTTATTAACATGTTGATCAAGAAATATTAGCCTAGGGCTGGGAAGATGGCTCAGCGGCACAGCGCCCGCTTGGCAAGCACAAGGTCCTGAGTTTGATTCCCGGTACCAAAAAAACAAAAACCAAAAGAAATATTAGCCTAGCTATTGCTGAGAGGCTGGATAGTGGCCAAAAGCATATGTGCCATCATTTTGCCTGCTCTGGGGGTTAACAATCAGCACATGGCCAATCAGATACCTGTCTTTTAGTTAGGATGTGATGTGACACACGCTCATGCTGAAACTTTGGGGCACAGGAATCTACGTGAGACGCCCTGTATCCTACAGCTCCCACACCATCGCTTCCTTCCACCCCAACCATGAAATCCTTCACCCCCTTCTCGTTCCCCTTGATTCTAGTGAACTTCTGAAAATCTGGAGAATTTCTGGTGGCCAGCAGCCACTGGACACTGCCAGGCACCTGTGAGGCCCCCCTAGAGTGACTGTTAGCCTGAGACCACCTTCCAGTTTCTACCAGCTCTCATGGTCCCAGGACAGTCGGGGACCGAAGCACCAAGCATCAGTTGGTACAAGGCTCCCAGGGGCAGTGCTAACTGGCTGGTTAACCTTTTTCTTTTCAGGCATCTTCTCTAACAAAATTAACCAGCAAAAATGACCCGTGTAGAATTTATACTGATTTGAAAATTGTAAAGGAAACCTCTTCCTTCAAAAGGCAGCCCAATTTAAGACTCATGTAGACCACAAATGTTAACTCGCAGATGTCACTTAAAGGCACAAAGAGGCCACAGGAGAGGAAGGACAGGGGCTGCGCTCAGAGTTCCTAAGCTCAGGCTCTAAGGAAAACACTTTCTAGTTTTTCAGTTTGTTATTTTCATGTTTCAGTTTGGGTTCTTTACTGAGTTGGGATGTACATTTTACTGGCCAGGGCTCTATCAAGTATGTCATTTTAAAAGACTTGGATGCTGATAAATGCACTACTTCTCTTTCTGGAGTTCCTCTTCTTTCTCTTGATGCACTTCTCCCCAAGTCAGTCAAAGTGGAAGAGTAACTTCGAGGGGACTCTCGGTCTATCAGAAAGGAAATGATCGCCAGAGTGAGAATCCATCCATTCACTGCGCATTTGGTCAGCTGTTTTCCCTGTGGCAACTCTCTCCCCCCATCCCCCACCTCTCAAGTTTGAAACGATGCCACTACTGAAGACACAGGTATAAAAATCACTGATAACTATAAAGTTGTGATGGAAAGCACACAAAACAAGAACATTTCAAAAGAAAAATTATCTGAGCTAGCAGAAGGATTATACTCATGTTGGTAAATATAATTGCTAATTGTTGATTGATTATATTGTAGTACCTGGTGTAGATAATTCATAGTTACAGGGATTTTTGAAATCAGATAATTTTTGCTACTCAATATTTCTGTTCTGTTCCAATTTATAATTACTATTAGATGGCCTGGAGAGTATGGAGAATTTGGAAATAGCAACAATTTGTAGAAACAGAAACATTTGTGGAACAACAATTAAGAAAGGTAACAATAAAAAATGAAGTTAAAGAATGTATGATGATGATAGGACTATGGTCCTGTCTCTCTCTTTCTCTCTCTCTCTCTCTGTCTTTCTCTCCCCGCTCCTCTGTGTTTTTAAAACTTACTGAGTCTTAAAATGTCATCCTCTTTATCTATGGCCTTCCTTTGTGCCCTGTTGATAAACTACCTTATCAGAAAGTAAATATTTACTCAAAAATCACAAAGGGATAAACAGTCTTGTCAGTTGCCAAATAGCCTATGAAATGTTGAGGTTTTTGTTTACCCTAAAGTAAAATATAAATACTTATACTATAAAGCCGTGATAGCCAGTATCCCTTAACTGTATCTTGTAGTTACAATTACACACTCTATGACTTATATGTGGGAGTATAACTAGAGGTTGAAGCTATTTCAGTGGTTTATGGTATAGAATTTAACCAGTTCAGCGGGGTCCAAATTTGTCAGTTCTTTTTATCTCTTTAAAGAATTTAGTTACATTAAATAACAAGAAGCATTAAAATATAATTTATTTTATCTATCTCTGAAGGAATTTAAAATGCTGATGTATAAGAAGAAAATATTGTTTAAAGGTTTTGAGTACTTTGTCTAGACGGAAGAACTGAATACTCACAAGTGGTTCTGCGCTGCACAACCTGTGAGGATAAATGTCTGACTTTCTGTGAGTTGTGAATTCTAATGTCTTTAGTCGTATGAAGGTGACATGGTCATCAATGTTCCAAGTAAAACTTAGCTATTTTCATTCATGTTAGAGGATTATGTGCAGTATGTTTTTCATTCTAAATTAATATACTTTTATGAACATAAGGATCTCATAATGATCAGATATTTTACATTACTTTTACTTTAAATCATTTGGCATATAAACAATTTTTTACTTGGGCTGAACATAATTGAGAAGCAAATGTTTTATGAAAGAACAAAATATTCTTGCAATGCATTTCCAAGTCCACTTAAATCATGTTTCAATAATGTACTCTACCTTCAAATAAAATTGAGATATGATCATATTAAGTATTAGGACAGTGGACAAGGTAGCTAATTTATTAAAAATTGCATCCTACCACATCTCTGTGAAAATTTCCAATTCTTGAAACTGACTTTAAAAATCCTAACTTCCATACTTGAAGCATGTTGAAGTGTAAGTGAAAGCAAAGCTAAACACTAATAAAATAAGTACATTTATACGATGATAATCAACAATTGAGTCATGTTACACTACTGTAAAATTTAAATTATGCCTTTTTTAGGATATAGGAATATTTTATACTACCAAACAATCATCAGGAGTTTGAATCTCTTCTCATTACTTGCTATCTGTGTAACCTTGAGCAAACCTCTTGTCCTGTCTAGGCCTCAGTGTCCTCAGCTGTAAAACAGTGCTTACAGTAATAACCCATCCCATTGGTCTATTCCAGATTTAACTAGCTAATGTATGTTAACTATTTTGTAGTATCTGGTGTATAGAAGGTCCTCTTTTGAGCATCCAAGTTTCTGCCAGAATGTTCATTCTAGCCTCTTGAAATTCACAAAGTAAAAACAGGTACTTTGAGAAGTAATGAAAAACACTGGATAAAAATATTAAAAGTGCCTATGCTTTTGGGTTATGTAAACCTCCAATAAACATCTGCACATTTGAATTGCTCTCTGTCCTTGTGTTGCCACTTCAAAGTTATCTATGAACACCAAGTTTAGAATCACTTTTAACGTAGTCTAATTCAAATTTCATGTTGATTTGCTTTAGCAGAAACAAAACAAGTAATGGGAAACAAGAGAAAATGAATACAGTGAGTGATGGAATGGGATTTTAATAGATACAGCTTAAAGATGCATTCACAAAAATTTGTATCCTAATTGTGTGCTTTAAAGGGAGAAAGTTATTAAATAAATCCAAATGCCTTTATTGTTTGCCAATTACTAACATATATTCAGTTTTGCTTCTTGTATGTTTTGATACAGTATCTTCTGTACAGGATATGAGCAACTTATTTAAGGAAATGGCTATAAAATTTTAAGGTTGATATAAAAATAAAAGAAAAGGCTACTTGCTAGCCTATTGATTTTGATTAATTGTACAGTGACAGGAGTTCTCCCTGAGGATACTGATATTCACTGACAGTTTCTGCCTTGAAATAGTCTTTTCAATTTGATAATTCATTTAGTCTATTGTCTCAATGTAACAGTTACAACTTTAGCAAACAAAATGTTTTCCTTTCACTTTTGAATGAATAAATTTTTGTGAATTGATGGCCACTTTAAGCCACACACTGGGCTGGAATACTACACGGGCAAATGGGAAAGGGGAAGGCATGTTGGCACAACAAGCACTTGCTCTGAAACATGTAAGTATGCCAAGTGGTCTCACAGCTCAAGAACCATGAGATGTGGATATGGAAAATGAAAGAGCTGGAGGGTGGGTATCTGGAGCACACGGAAAAAGAAAGAAAAGCTCGTCCACCTTGGAGACTCAGGGCACTGTCATGGTCTTGGTGGTGGTAGCTGTTGTTGGCTGTGTCCACGTCCGGGAAGGAGGCACTGTGCGGCATTCTCCCACACTCATTCTGGTACAGTGGACAATGAATAGCACCATCGTGAGGCAGTGGGTGGAAAGGCTGGTGCGTGGGGCTCCTTTTCAGAGCTCTAAGTGATGAGTTCCTTTCAGGAATATCTGGCAGCAGTTCACTGATAAGACGGTGCAATATACTGTTGTCTGGCAAACTTCCTCTTCTCTTTTCAGCCTTGATTTGGTCACAGATGTCTTTAAGGGCAGAGTCTAAAGCCTCAAATACAGATGCTTTACATTTTGCCTTTTCAGTCTGTTTTTTGGGAGTCACATTTTTTTTCCTCCGGAAAGGCACAGGGCTGACTAGAAATGCAAGTTTAGACAGGCCGGGGTCTATTTCTTGTCTTCTAGGCTGTTCAGCACTTTCATGCTTAGCTCTTTCGTGTTTTAACATGGTGGTGAACCGAGTATAGGAGGCTGGGCACCGGCCTTTGCAGGAGCTGACGAGGTGCCGGTGATGGTGGTGATGGTGATGGTGGTGGTGGTGGTGGCTAGATCCATAAAAACTTTCTGAGGATGTGAATGAAAAGTGATCAAAATCACTTTCACTGCAAAAGGATGACCCTTCCACATGGATGTAGTCACTGTGATCAGACACAACTCCATCCTGGTCGCTGTCAGAAAATTCCACGTGGGTTCTGGGTTGCTCATCGCTGGTGACTTCGATGTGGATTGGCACCAGGGCTTTTGACTTGTAGCTTCGCTGAACCTGAGAAGGGTGTCTACTCTGATTTTCTTCCTCCAGCAAAGACTCGATGGAAAATCGCCTCTTGGGACACAAACCATTTTGTTGTGGTTCGAGGGTTACAGGAGATAACATTTCGTCTCCTAAATTTGGCATGGATTTTGATTTTTGAATCAACTTTTCAAATTCTGAGATGCGGGTGGGCACCATGTCCCTGGGCACCTCCTCTGTGGAGGACTGGCTCCACCCGTGGAGCAGGCCCTTGTGCTGCTGCTCCTTTTCGTACTGCATTATTCTCGACTTCACCGAGCAGATCACCTCTGAATTCATCAAATCTTTCCGGTTGATGCGGTGCATTTTCTTGTACATTTTTAGGAACCCGGGGGCGTTGTGTGCTGACCTGTGTCTGATCCTTGATCTGCTGTTACTGCGACCCTCCTGGATGTAGGAGGAACCCCAGGTCATGGAGCAGCTGTCTTTGGAATCCTCTTCACATAACAGGGAGCCCATACTTTCTGACTTGGTCTGTGGGTCAGGGAAGCTATCACAGTCATCATTTAGGAGATCGTCACAGCTACGTGATTTGATTTTGGGGGACACTGATTCTTCAGTGCTGCTCCAGATCTCTGCATTTTGCCTGGCCATCTGCCAGCCGTTCTTGAAAGTGATGGCCCTTTGGGAGTCCCTTGGGACATCTAGATGCTGTCTATAAGGACTATAGTACTCTAACTCACTGGAGGGGGTGCCGTTGAACCCTGAGTAACTGCAAAGGGATGGACACATTTTGCTATCATCCCCACCTTTTAATCCAGAGCAGCATGGCAAGAGAGAGATATTTAGAGAAGTTAAAAGGTTCACAAAGTGGAGAGTGTGTCAGTATCATAGAGCACAGCAAAGAGAAACCAGTTAGTGCGGCTTAATCTGAACACTGATCATTAACACATGTAGCTTCAAGTTCAGAGGAAAAGGGTCTAATTCTAAAGGGATGATAACAACCTTTCAATGAATGTAGCTTTGCAGATTTTAGAATCAGTTCATACATCTTTCTGCCAATACAGTACGGGAAAAACATGAGAAACAAAACAATTGTACCTCTGAAACTAATAGCATGCCTTAGTGGTAATTTAAATGCTTAGCAATTCATACCAAAACTATCAATAGACTTAACCAATTTAATAGGGTATTTGAAACTCATTTGACTTGTAATAATCCATAGGTAAAAAGTAATTATAATTTTACTTTTAATTAACACTCATAACTTTATTAAATAATTTCTTAAGGGCACTGAGTAGAAGAAGCTGTAAGGAAAAGTATTTTCCAAAGTTGCAAAATCAAAATACTGTGAACTGCCAATGTTTTTCCAAGAGTAAAATAACTAGAGCTTCTTTAAACAAACTAATTTACTTCTTTAATTGCTCACCTTCAACCTTTTATTAAGTACATTGCTCGTTTAAGGATAACTGGATATGATGTAAACTTTCACCAGAAGTAAATAGATCATGCTTCTTTTATGTTTTTTTAATTAAGCCATTCATTTTCTACATTATAACAGAAAGCTAACCTTGACCTCAGGTTGGAACATTATGGGAATATTCTTTGCTTTTGCTCTGTTGAATTATCTAATAAACAAGAGACCAAATTACATCTAACAGAACATTTTCTTCTTTAAAATGAAACCTAGTGAAGGAAAATGTCTCTATTAACAACTCATGACTTATGTTCTTTGAGTTCTTCAAAAGTAGACAAGCACATTAAGTTGATATGTAGTATTTGGGAAAGGAAGTTGACTTAACACTCCCTATGATAAACAAATATTTAAGTTCATCAGAGTCTTTTCAAGCTTTGGACAGTAGCCAAGAAAAATGAGTTAATGGCATTTCATGACTTGTTATCTTAAGGCATTTGTGTAAATGAGTGGAGACCGATAAAGGCATCTCTGTTAACCCATAGAAGGTGGGTCTCTCCCCTTTCCTCTGAAGCACCCAGACACTCCTCATAGCTGTGCTAAGCCTTGGAAGGGCCAGGCCTCCTGCCTCAGCAGTCAGTTATTCTACCTAGTTTGCCTTTTGCACACAAACCAGCTATTAATTAGCTTTAACTGCTGGGAGGTAACAGTTTTAGTGCCTACAATTGATCTCTGCAGCTAAATCTGGTCTTTTTCACAGAGACTTCTATTAGAGCTCATTTTCTTCACACATTTTAAAATTGTTCTCTCTTCTATTCCAACTCCAAGAGACTGGAGGAGATTGTGGGGCTCCAAATTTGGTATGGCCCTAGGTCTATGTGGATGTTGGTTCAGTCCTATCTCTCCATCTCAGAAACATTCCTGTCCCTAGGCAATAATACACTAAAAGAGCTTGCAGAGACCAGAGTGAGTGACTTATTCTCTTTCAACACTTAGGTCACTGCATTTCCAAAGAGGGGAGAGGACATTGGAAAGGTGGCTTGTTGAATTCTAAACTATAATTATGAATTGAAATTCTAAATTATAATTATGAATTATTATTGTGGAGTGCTATGAATTGACCACTGTTACATGGTAGAACACGAATACTCTACTGTATACATGGAGATTGACCAAAATATAGATTAAATGCTTTAAAAGATGACTAATAGATAATTCTTTTACCAAAAATTTTAAAAATGAATGTTTTTGGTAATACTTTTACCTATTGCTACTTGTAATTCTGACTGTATATTTGATTAATTTACTAGTTACAGTAAAGTTAGAAAATTTTTACTATTTGTAAATGTTTATAAATATCATCTTTGCTGGTCTGACAGCAAATTACTTGATACTTTGAACTGGTTTAAAAAACAATTTATTTGAGTAGGGAAACAAAGCATCAACAGATGCTAGTCTAGGTCCTTTAAACCATCCCAGCAGCTCACCAGCTTGAGTCAGGTGGAGCAGAAACAAACGTGTTGTTCTGAAGCTGTACTTTATTTAAGACACTGTAGGTAAAAGCCAGGACATAGCATTATCACTACCACATAGCAGCTCTCATGTGTATTCTAAGCTGAAACTTAAACTAGTAAGTTGTTTATTTATCAGTGCTCACCTTTTGCTCTGGAGGGTGAGGAAGGAGAAGAGCTAATGAAAGACTTTGTCAGTGTAGTGCTTGATCCTGGGAGGTCCACCCTGCTGGGGCTGGTCCTGCTCGCAAACTGATCCCCCAAGCCCCTGGGCGGACCGACTGCAGGCTCACTCTTCCTCCGCTTCCTGAAGTCACCGGTCATACTTGCAGCACTGAAAGAAGGGGCGGCATCAGTGGGACTGGTGTTGGAGGAGATCAGCAGGTGCACTGGAGAGACTGTGGAATACTCTTGAGACAGTGAGGTTGTTCCTGAACCCCCACCCCCAAAACTGCATTATGAGGAACTCATCCCTTGACACTGAAAGTGATTTCTTGAGAATTATCTTTTCAAAGAAATGTGTAGATATTATTCTTTTTTAGAGCAGTTTCAGGTTTATAGGAAACTTGACTGCAATGCACAGGCCCTCCATATCTGCAGGTTCTTCTGTGGGCTGGAATAATTTAAAAATGTCTCTACACTGAATATGTGAGGATTTGTTTTCTTGTCATCATTCCCTATGCAATACAATATAACAAATATTTGTATAGCATTTATATTATTATAATTAACCCAGAGATAAAGCATATGGGAGGATTGCATAGGTTATATGCAAATATTATGCCATTTATATGAGATCTGAGTGTCCCCAGGTTTTGGTGTCCTTGGGAGTCCTGGAAATGATCCTCAGCAAGCATTGAATAACAACTGTACAGAGTTCTGCCACGTCAACTTTCTTTTCTCTTGCACATGTTTTTTGATATTATTTACATCTTATATTAGTATGGTCCACTTGTTACTTTTGATGAATCTACTTTGACATGTCATCATTCTAAGTCTACACTTACAGTATAATTCATGCTGTGTGCAAATAACCTATGGGTTAAAAAGTGTCTTATGAGATGTGCTCATCACTCATGTATGGTGTAGGATAGTTTTACTATCATCAGAGTTCCTTTTGTGTCGCCTTTTAATCCATTCCTCTCTGCTTCTCCTGTCTGGGAACACTGACATTTTCGTTGTCTCCCTTCTCTGTCTTTACCAGAATGTCACAGTTGGAATCACACAGTAGACAGTCTTTTCAGATTGGCTTCTTTCACTATTTCAGATTGGCTTCTTTTCAGATTGGCTTCTTTACACTTTAAATTTCCTCCATTTTTGATCATTTGATAGCTCATTTCTTTTTCTTGCTTAATAGTCCATTATATGGATGTACCACAGATTATTTATCCATTCGTCTACTGAGGGACATATTGGTGGCTCTCAAGTGTTGGCAATTGTGAATGAAGCAGCTCTAAGCACCCATGGCAGGTTTTCACTTTGTATGTGGACATATATTTATAATAAACTTTTAAAGTAAAATTTTGCTACAGTGAGTAGATTGTTACCAACATTTCAGTCTTGTGATTTGTATCATATATCTTTTCTCTATAAAGGAGAATCCCAGCAACATGAATATTTCTGGAGCAGGGGGTGTGCTAAAATGGAAGAACTGGATAAAATGAAGATATCTAGCAAAACAAGTTTCTATTATCTCAAGAAATGCCTGCAGATTTTCCTAATAATTTTAGCTTTAGAAGACATTACATTGGAATGCCTACCTTCTTCATCTAAATAATGAATGACCAAAAATATGGTCAGTAAATAAAATATTAAAGATTCCTTTCCTCTGGTTGTATACAGTTGTGTTGATAGTCTACATAACAGCTGCGAGTTCTTATCAGGGTTTTGAGTTTGAGTACAATATCACTTAAGAAAAACACTACTGAATGAAGAGATACATGATACAGTATATGCAGTTTGCCAAACTGCTGGATAGAATTAGGTAAACAACAGTGACAATTCTGGATATGGCTCTTATGGAACTCAGCAGGATTTATTTACACTTTTGTCTTATTTAGCCTATATAGCAACCAGTGAGGTACCATAGGTTATCACATCTTACAAGCAAGCATACTGGAGACACAGGCCTGCAAAGTACAGACTTGGAGCCAGTCCTCAGAATTTGTCTGCATTCTCCTAAAGATGATGCTGCACCCCCTAAACTTATATTGCCATGACCATCCTGCTATATGACGGGCTGCTTGTCTTTACAGTAGCCCTTAGGTCAGACTGAAGCTCTAAAATTCAAATATTTCATATATTTTTGGTGCAAAGATGAAAAGAGGTTAGAGGAGTTCCTTTCTTTGCAATATTAATGTAGTTGCATGGCATGCATGAACTTAATTTATGAAGGACTCAACTCATAAAGTTTTCTACTGATGTTGATAGAAAATTATAGAATGGCAAATTAATGTTATATAAATATTTGTGATGGTATAAATATGCCTGGATGTTTGTAATATTCAGTACTGCTATTGAAGTATGTTCAAATTTCAGTAATATTTTAAAGTAAGTCCAATATTTAAAGCCTTCTAAGAGAATTTAATATTTGGCAGACACTAAGGACAGCTAAACTCAGCATCATGCTACCTTGACTCGATTCTGTTTTGTTTTTCTCACTTCTAACTGTGGAGACCTGTAAATTAGTGAGCCTAAGTGTTAGTTTCTTCAAAATAAAGTGGGGATATAGTATTTAACTCATAGTACTGTCACTGGGTTGGATATGTATTTATATAGGAAGCCATCATATATAGTAGTAAAAACATTTCTGATTTGTGTGGCAAGAAAATGATTAATAAATACATGTATAATCGTTTTTAGTTTATAAAAGTTTTACAAATATCATGTTACTTGACTGGTATAATCTCCATTTAAAGAAAGAAAACTGACCAAAGGAAAGAGAACTTATGAACCTATGGAGAACTTATTACCTATGGAGAACTTATGAAGGAATTTAAATGATTTCACTTCATTTTTATAAGTTCTTGAATATGATAATATACAATGATGCAGAAAAAATAAATCAACTTCATGAGAAATAGTACTTAAAATGAGTGATACATAATCTTCATCACCATTTCACTGAATAATATAACTATTGAAAAAAATTGGTATAGACTCTTCCCGTTATACATTGTACAATGTAAGGATATTCTTACCTGCTTGGCCTCTCCAGGCTTCTGTCTATGGAGGACTGATATATGGAAGCCTGTTAGGATAGAATAATAGCTCCATGAAAATTATTACAATAATAGATTTTATTTGTCTAGCAATATTAAATTAGATATTCTAAAAGGAATATTATAGCTATCGAGATTGGAAGTACCATCTATTATGACTATAAAAATGTCTTCCCAAAGAGAAAGAAATTAGGCAACCTGACTTCCACTTCTTCCCTATCTACTTTCTCTGATGTATTGTATTGCATTACCCCGTGTAAGTTAAATTATCTACAACTCAAGCAGTAATTTCATGGGGAGAAAATAAAAATCAATAACATTTCCTCAGGGACACCAAACTGAATAAAGAGCTGAAGTTACTCCACAGCATTAACTTCAGAATCTTGTCTAGTCACAAACTGTAAGAAATTTCTTACTTTAAGGAAAGGTTTGATTTTAAAAAAAATATTTGTAGCCATACTTCAGTCCTTATAAAACATAACTCTGTATGATTTTCTTTTGTCATTGCCAGCTGTTATCTTTAAAAATAACACATAAGCAGAATGTGAGATACCTTATCTTTGTCAACATAGATGTAACACTTTAACAAAACCCACAGAATTTCATTTGGAACCAAACTACCTTGGACTTCAATCAGGTATACATTTATAAATTTCAAATAACTAGGGTTATTTGAAATAATTAGGTGAATTTATGGTTAGTTTATAATAAATGGTCTAAAGAATCAAAATATAACTTTTAAAAAGTGTACTTTAAATATTTTCCTTTATTCTGAACAGTGCTCTGCAGAACTAAGCAAAAACAATAGACAGGAAGTTCCCATTTTTCATGTCCATTCACTGGGACAAATGCTAAATTATCTGAAAGGCAGGAAAGGGTCAGTACAGAGCTCCTGAATATTGGAAGTACAGTGCAAGACGACAGTGGCAGTGACCCGGTGCCCAGCATGCACAGGGAAAGGCATGATGGCTTTAGGTATAGCTTCAGTCACTACTGATGCTCAAGTTATCATCCTAGACAAACTCTGGTTTGACTAAAAACTGAAAGTCTAGTTTGAAAATGATTGTTTGCATGAAAGTTTAAAAGTGGCTGCTAGAAAGACAATATTTGACATTTTATCCTGTCAAATAGAAATATTTTACCAGAAACATTGTCTACTTAGTAAATATTAAATCTCACTTTGCCAATGATTTTTGCAACTGTACTTTCTATTAATTGATAAATTTGTAGCAATTAACCAATGAAAACACTGGTGCATCACTTTGCAATTCTTTATGTCAATCAATCTGACATGCCTCCTATGTATAGGTCTAAAATCACATCTACTAACTTAATGTTTTCATTTAATTCCATTTTACTTAATACGAATGGAATCTTATCTAGCAACAAGCAAAAATATATCTCAGCACGATAATATCCCTTTTCCTTTTAGACAGAATACTTAGAATCCTAGATTCTCTATAAATATAAAATTAGAAAAAATACATTTTGCTATTCTGATAAGTTTACATGGTTATTTTAAATTATTGAACTCTTAATTGGATACCAGAAAGACAGAAAACCAGTAGAGAAGAATGCAAACAGTAAAAACCAAAAAACCAAAAAAACAAGCGATTGCAATTTAGAAATTGTTAGTTCTATGTATATGCAGAAGAGCAGCATTTAAGAGTCTCAGAGTGTTGTTGTTTGTGCGGGTCATAGATTTCTCGGGGCACCTAACACACAGTTGATCACAAAAGGGACAAATTCAGAACAGTCTTGGAACATCCCAGAGATCAGAAATGAGCCTAAACAATACTGTAATATAAAATGAAACAGTGTAAGAACTGATAAATTAATCATATTTTAAAGTTAGTTCAAGAAACTACAATTATTTTTTCTTGTACTTGTTTTCACATCCAAAATAAGCTAAAGCCAGTTTTTGAATTTATATTTATATAAATATATTAAATTTATATAATATAAA